TAATGTACTGAATTTAATATTAATCTATGCACCCCATACTTCAATTAATATAATTAACTAACGCATCAACATCATTTAAATATATTATGGTAATTTTAATAGAAATACATACAGATAAAATAAAAATTTAAAAAAAATCAAGTAATGAGGAAAAAAAACTTGATTTTTTCTAAAAAGAAAATCTAAAAGGTCACAAAGTCTCTACTTTCTAATAAAGCAAATATATTATTATATCAATTAAAAAATGTGTTTTATTAAAAAATGAAAATATTAGTGTGACATCCTTTAAAAGTATTAATTGAACTTGGACTATAAATGGGGATTATTAATAATTATGTAGTATTATTAATTGAAATATGTAGGTTTAATATATGTCTTCGACAGCTTGCAGTTTTGGACTTTTGTAGATACGGTCCTGCTGATACCCATCCCTATCCGCGAAGGCGAAAGAGCGTAGATAGTATCATTGGTTGGGTTCGTTTAAATAGTGAGAAGTAAAGGGTTTTGAGGGGTGGAAACTAAATCGAGTTCCTGCCTTCATCCCCATCCCCGTCCTTAATAATGTTGATATTAAGTAGAGCGCTAACATCGGACATTACGAGCAGTATCCGCGTTGGGCGGGTTATGTTGTTATGTTGTTTGGTCTGGTGAACAAACGACACGGCGATCCCCGAATGGGAATGTGGCTGAATGCGAGACTTCGCAATCCGCTGCGACCGTCATGCAGCCAGTTATTCTCCTTATTAACATCCCTCCTTTCCTCCCCCAAGAGACTGATGCGGTCATCGCCTGCCACCAGCTCACTAATGTCCCTCCCGATATTACGTAAGGAGGAAGGGGGACGCACACGACCCTTCGCATCCAGATCCAAATTCTACGGAGTGCATCAGATTTTGGCCCCACGGAAACCTAATTAACGTGGAGCCGGTCAAAAAATTAATTACCTAAAGTAGCCCGCCTTGTGATAAGGATATCATTAATTTACAGAATCGGACATGTTTTACCTATTAAAATTTACTTAATAGACACTTTTCTTTCAACAAACGCTAATGACAATTTACAAAAAACGAAAATTAATATTTTTTTAAATCCATCAACATTAAAAATATATTTAATTAACTTTAATGTCAAAGCATAAAAATATTTTGGAAGCATCATTTTCAATAATAATTCGGATACGCATTGAATCATAAATCATCAAATAAAATCGTTAAATATACTAAAATATTAATTACTGTATCCTAGTCACAAATCAATAAAGGTCATAAAATCAAAATTCGGTAGTGATAATAAAATTCAATATAAAATCCATTCCCTCGTGGCTCGTTTTTCGATAAAAGCAGATAAAAAAATAATATCATAATTATGTACTCCGGCAAAACAATATGTCGTCAAATTTAAATGGTCGTAGTCAATCAATATTTCAGAATAGAAGAAAATTAAATATTTTTGTAGAAATTTATATTACAGACATAGAAAAAATAATGCACATGGAAATTAGCATGAGCATATTTGTTAAAAAAAAAATTGGTGTATTGATTTATATTTTATGATTGTACGTTTTTAATGCCTTCCACCATTAACTTTGTTAATGAAATATACTCATTAAACGTTACTAGTAAAACATGAATAATATTTGATAAATATTTTATGAACTTTATTTATAATTTATCAATGGACTTTTTAATTTCATTAACTTTGTTAATTTATTTTTTCTATAAAATCTGCTATTGATACGTTTCTTGTAAAATGCAAAGATTTTAATAAATCATTAATTGTTTAGTTTTACAAATATTCAGCTTAAATATAAATAGTTTTTGTAAGTATATTTTTTTATTTCTTTCTAAATACATTTTAAATAATTTACAGTTCTAAAACTAAATATAAAGCATTTAATCCAATTTTATTTTAATATGTAAACGAGGTTTTAAATTATATAAGAAAAAAAAATATAATTTTATGCAGTTTTTTTTTCAATTTTTGACGGAGGAAGATTGTAAAATGTGAATTTGTATTTTAATCGTTAATGCAAGGTATTGATCAAAAGTTTATGAAAAAAAAATATATGGAAGTAATAAAGAATGTAAAGATGTTGCATCGCGGAAAATATTTTATAAGGCACTAAGTCTGGAGATAAGTTAAAAGAAGTTTGTGCGCGTTACGAGGGGGTTCGATTTTAAGAGTGTAATTTGCTGTTCCACCTGAATATACCTAGTTCGGATCGAATCGAAAGGTATAATCAAGGATTTTGAGGCGGAGGGAGGTTAACATACGAAAAAAAAATGTGAGAGCGAGGGTTAACTAACATTGTTTGGGGGCAAATTTCGCGGGGGCATTTGCCCGATTGACCGATCGTAGCGACGTTTCTGGGTATAATGCATTCAGTTAATTTGATACTCGATTGACTCAGTGATCGAAATACGGAAAATGACAATTTTGAAGTTGAAAATAGGAATCATTTAGCGTGACATGATTGTGGCCTATAACATCTATAACAGGTAGAGTTTATGTGAATGACAATGGAGGGGTTGTGAGGACGACAATCGCAGCCCGACACGCGACTACTATAGCTTAATAAAGCTAATGGACGCTAAATTCAGGAATATCCCATTGGAATGGGAGTACGTGAGGGGTGGTTGCTCGGGGTGGAGCGCAAAGAAGAGAGCGTCTCGGAGGGGTGGAAGAAAAGAAGCGAGCAAAGGGATAGAGAAAAGCAGAGAAGAAAAAAAAACAGGAGTAAATAAATAAAAGAAGTTTATTTATCGCTCTGTCGGAGTAAATAAATTTCCGACATAGAGAAATACAAATAGCCTTGCTTCTTTCTTCGACTACCCCGACTTTTGAGCGGCGCGCGGCGTCGGCGTCGCGCAAAAAACCGCAAGAAACGAGCGCGCCCCGTCGTAATGAAGACTAATGACGGCTAAATCTTCCGTGATGTTGATTCGAACGCAACGCGCGGCGCCACCCTCTCCCTTCCTCAAATGCAACATTGAGCTTGAATCGCGTATTCAACAGGGTGCATACAACCACCCCTCGATCAACAACGATCAAATCTTTTCATAATTTTTGCACAAAGTGCATTACGGCATCCATTTTTCAACATCATAAATTCCGGAGACGCGACGTCCGCATTTCGTTCTGCTTCGTACCTTTTTTTGTCTTTATTGTGTGTGTGTGTACAGAATTTTTTTTTGCTTCCCCATCCGAGAAGAAGCAACAAAAATTTAAAAAAAAAACCAAAACAGAAACCCCGGAACAACATTTGTCACATTCATATCCACACTGTTAATTCCAATATTTATATACATAAGGGTGGTTGTACTACATTCACAATTTTATTTTCAACCCCTGTAATGTTTATAATTACATATCACGTGGAAATTTATACAAAAAAATACATCATCTGCTAATGTTTCACTGTTTGTAATCGAGTTTTTACATATATATATGTTTGTGTTTTCAAATTTCCTGATTTTAGAAGGAAAATCTTAAAAATTGATAAAATGAAAATTTGGTTCAAATCTTAATAAATCATGTTTGAAATTCAATCGATTAAATAATTGCTATCCAGTATATCAATTGAAGAAATTATTATGAAGGAATCAGTAGGATATAAAACATATGTATTGCCATTTTATGAAATTTATAAAAAATAAAAGGTAGGTGTTTCATTGGGGTAGGTAGGTAAGAGATCTGGTATGTAGATGATTAAAGAGAAGTAATGCAGCTGAATGTGTAAAGACTATTAAATATAAGAGAATCCATATGATTTGGATGCAATTCGTAGTAATAAGAATATCCATACTAATGTACATAATATGTGCTCAAATAAAAGGGTTATAAGTAGATTTCAGGAATGAGAAGATGGAGGTAGGTTATTGAGTCGATAGGTTTAAAAATCAGGTTAAGTACTGCAAATTTAACAAAAACATAATTATAAAACTTAAATATTAGCAAATTATTACGCTTAATTCTAAATTTTTATTATTAAATATTATTTACTTTTTTTGTTACTGTATTTCAGGACTAATATTTTCTTAGCGTAAGTAAAAAAAAATTAAAAAAAACAGGTAATCATTTCCGAAATTTGCTATTTATTTCCACAACACAGCTTGCTTCCTATAAGCTTACAATTTTTTTCGTGATGTCCTCTAGGTTAAGAAAACGGTTAAGTATATTCAATGTTAAGTTTACCTTATACATTAGGTATAGGATAATTTTTAAACGTAATATTGATTGAGGATTTTAAAATATTCTACAAGAGGTAGAGTAATATTATTTTGTACTTGAAATTGGGAGTATTTCAGAGGCCGAGTGTGAAATGAATATGTATATGCAGAGCGGCTGAAAATGCATGCACGTGGATAGTGCAAAATCGAGTTGCATAACTGGCGCACGTTAATTCCGTCAATTAAGTTCGGAACGAGAAATTATGAGTTTGCCGCGATTAAGTTATGCGGAATTTAGCGAGAAGAAATTTGATTAAATTCAATTATCCTGGCAACACGTCTGCATCCGTGCGCTGGGTCTGCTATAATTATGGTGGTTGAGACCTAATTTGTATCTGTACATCCACACAGGGTGTATTTTTGATAAGGATTCGGCCTCAACTTTCTGGGGTTGGGTTATTAAGCACTTCCTTTTTGCCAACCCGGTGGAAGTATAAATTCGAAGTACTGCATATAATTTTTGTGGGGACAGAGGGGGTTGAAGGGTGGATGGAGGATGTTGGTGTCGCCAAGCATTCCCATCTGAAGACTCCCGCACACCCCTGTAAGGATTTAGTAAATACTTCGTCGTCTGCGACGCGTATTTATCAGATTTAAGTTTAAGAAATTAGCGAGATAGGAAAACTGCCGTCAAATCTCAATTCCGTCACCCAAATTAATCCGGCAAACGACGTAAAACGAAACTTTCCAAATATCGTTCAATATATATATATATTTATTTTCACAAATTATACAAGTTTCCCTCTTATCTATTTTCTTTTTCTTGTATAGACAAAAACATCGGTCGTCATCGACATTACATTTCATCAGGTGAGATATAAAGTGTTTTTATACAACTTTTACTGTTTAATCCTGCATCTACCCCCACACACAAACACACCAAAAAATGATTTTTGTTTGATAAAAATATACATAATTATTTTCTTCTGCAGATTTAAGGTAATTGGTTGAGAATATGCAAAGATAATAATGGTTATCCGTTGAATGGTTCGGGTTGTCTGTAATCGCATGCGGCTGTTGTCAGCTGGATGGTAAATAGGTTAGGGATGTCAGTTATAGCAAATACCATTAAGATTATTTCCGCACTATGAAGATATAAATACTTGCATTTCACTTTTTTTTACTCAAAGTTGTTTTATATACACAGGGTGATTCATTTAAAATTACATTTTGAAAAATTTAAAATATTGACAATAAATTCATTCATTAAAGTTGTAAGCATTCAAGGACAGAAGAAACTTTTTATAAGCAGTGTCTTTACATTTTTGCTAATATCACAAAAAATAAGGGGTGCAAATTCATTAATGAGCAACCAAATTAAAAGTAAATGTTTACTCTGGTATTGTTGTATTGTTTCTCATTTAACTGTCAAACTATGTATATTGATGGGAACACCCTGTATATATACAGCAAGTGTAATTCTTTTAATACTAAAGAAAAAGATTTTTCATTGGTCGCGCGAATTCTTGATATTTATGTCTGAAAATGCTGAGAATGAGTTCACGTCTTGTGGTATATCTTAATGAGTTGAGTGAGGCGAAGGGAAAGATGTCATAATAAAATTTAGACATCCGCAATGTGTATATGCAGACATAAGATATATGTACGTGTGTAGATGTAAAAAGGAGATGGGCCTTCTTCGTTCTTTCTCCTCTACCGCCATTGTCTCGGCTCGCTAATGTGGCATTATTATATATATATGTGTATATATATAGTGCAGCATATAATGCGACGGCGATAATGTACGGAGTGGAGGCTATATGCTATGTGCTATGATCAACAAAGCGGATGATGTGCTTTACGACATGAGGAATGCTCGAGGATAAAATGCGACCAGATGGGTTGAGGCGGATTTGTATGCGAGCGGCGACCGCGACTTTTCGCCGAATATAATTTGACGGTTAATTCAATCCTCCCAGGACCCGACAGCGCCCTTCTGGCCCGAGTTTATCCTCCCCCCACCCCTCAAAAACCATCCCCTTCGTAATATAACCACTTTTCATTTCGAGTGGAGATATGATAATATCGCGGCTATATTTCAAAAGAAATACCATTTTGCGGATTTAATTACGTTATTGAAGTGTCATGTGCCACGGCCTTGATAAATGCAGAGAAGACGGGCGGGCGATCTACGGCTTATACTAGGCTCGCGCACACGGGAATAGCAAATATTTCATCGTTCAGTCCTTCCTTCCCTTCTAAAGTTTCGGAATTCCCATGTAAGTCATTCAAATCGTGGAGGAAAGTAATGAAAGCCGACGGTTCTCGCCTCTACCGTGGCCAGCGCCTTCGATTCCATTACATTTGATGTGGATAACTAATTCGCCTCAATTAAACGCGGTCGTAATTTGCTCTATTAGTTTCACAGACGGGACATTTCAATTGCTCCATTCAGATTTTCAGATTTACATTACGAACCGCGTTTCCGTTTGGTTCGCATCCTCATTTCCTCGCATTTGCAACCTTGAACTAATCGCACTACGCATACATTTCCTTTATTGCATTTAATATTATTTTTTTTTAATTGCTTTAATTATTTTATAATTGGTAAACAATGACAACATAATTCATACTTGTCTCAGTTAAATTAATTGCATATTCTCCTTAAAAAAAAAATCGAAAAAAAAATGTGAAAAAAATTGATTTTCCATTATTTTTTAGAATTTTTTAATTACAATTAATTAATCTGATTTCAGTAATTTAACATCAAGGAAATTGGCATGGGAAGACAATCTGTACACGATAACACAATAATTATATAAATAGTAAAACCTTGCATAGTAGAAATCGATTTCAACAACAAATTTATATGTTTGTCCCAATAGACTTTGTAATTGGTATATATTGTCCTAAGAGGCTTGACATATAAATTTTGAATTTTTTATAAAATTGTAGCAAATTATAATATTTTATTTTAATGGACTTATTAAGTTTTTACACTAATAAACTTAATGATACTATGCAAGGTACTACTTTAATTGTAACTGAAATGCGCTATCGATAATTAATACTGAACAAAAAATGTGAATTTGATTATATTTAAAAAGTCAATTACCAGTGATATACCATTAAAATCCAATCAAACTGAATAAAAATAAATAAAGAAACACGCGATATACGGTTTTAAACAGGAAGCAAGAAAAAAGAAGTAAAAATAAACACAAATTATTGGAAAATTTCATGTTCGTTCCTTAATTGAAAAAATGATTATACGCAATCATCATTTCAGTTGTAAATGAGTTCACTTAATATATGGATGTTGTTGTGTTAGCATCTACAAGACTCGATCAATTTGGTTGCTACATCCTTACTTCTGGTCTCGCCGGAAGCTCGTGTGTTTTAAACGGTAAACATTTTTCCAAAACAAAGCACGAAAAGAAAAAGAAAATAATTTCAAAAAAATAAGTAAAAACGAAAAAAAAAATGATACTTACAGAAAAAAAGAGAATCTGTTGTTTGCATTGGGCTTTTGGTGTTGCATGATTGGTGCATGACTTATTAAGTGTTATTTGTTCATCTGATGTAACTTGTGATGATTACGACGAGATAAAAAGGACAAATTTTTAACGGTGAAGCGAGGACATACAGATTGATTTTCTGGGTCGAGATTGATTTCGCTTCTTCTTTCTTTTTTTTTAGATTTAGATTTATTCTTTTTTTTTCTGCTCTCGGTGGATGGGGTGGATTAATTGTATTTGCTGGGATGGATGGCGGCGGAGAGAGAGAGAGAGAGATGGGGGATCTCTCGAAATGCGAAGATTGGCCACGTCCGCCCTTAGCAATATCACATATTTAAATTAGTTCCATGGAATTAAGGGAGGGTGGGTCTGTGCTATAATGACTGCATTAAAACTTCGGCGACTACAGTTCAACGAGTTCTATACGAACACACCACGTTGCCACGAGCGGTGTTTGTTTGACGAACTATCTGAATAATATATATATACTTACAGTTGGTGAAATAATACTAGATACTTGCCTAGTGGAAATATGGGTAGGTACTAGTTTTGTTTGGGTTTTCCTTATTTCGAGGTGAATGGGAAGAGGGAGGTATAAAAAGATACTAAGAAGTTTCGAAGCAACGAGCAGGAAACGTTTAAATTTGGCAACCGTTTTCGAATGCATCTTCAATTATGTAGGCAATAAGTTGCCAGTAGTTGCTATGCGATATAGCCTAGGCAAGTTGGGTTTAATGAACATCAGTAGTACGAGCACATAGCAATTGTAACTCTCGGACGGCACCTGATGGCGCGCATTGCCGCATCAGCGCGCATCCACAGCATCCCCAAAATCCCGTGCCACTATTTCATGTGCGCCGCCGGCATCGATATATTACATAACATATATATATATACACTTCGGCTTAAATACAATAAGTATTTAGATGGCGCGGGGCACATATGTACAAGTGGATATTTGTTACGTGATGGGGCCACCATTCGTTTTCCTGCTTCCTTTTTGCAGAAGTGCGTGCTCCTTTCTTACGTCCGTATCGCTATTTCTTTTTTATTTTATTTCGTTCATCTCTTGTTCCTCCTCTTCGTTTCACTTGCCTCGGATACCCGCGCACACACACGCTCTTAATATTCAAATTTTCGGAGGCTATGTTTCAAGCAATATTGAGGGGTGTAACGGGGAGGACTATGTTATTGCTTTTGTAACTCTGGCATTCCCTTTCATGCTAACTTAACCGAACGAAATGGCAGCAGCGCTAGGAATACAAGTGGTCCCATTACTTTTATAAACCAGAAATGGCGTTCATCATACACTCTGAATAGTTAATAACTTACACCCTAACAACCCTAAATTCATAGTAGTAGTATTTTAGTAGCATACATACATCTAAACTAAATACATATTTTTATACCAAATTACATATATATATTTTTTTTATTAATTTAAGATTGGCTTCAAAATTTATACTTAGAACCTTAACTTGCATGATTGTTTTATTTATTAAATAACAAATTTACTTTTTGCAACTATGACCAATAAATTTTAATTAGTAGTAATTTAGTTTTTTTAATTATACAAGTTTAATATCTCTAAAATCTATTATTAAGAGATAATAAATAAATTTTTACATATTTTTTTTACTTGAAAGTTTTAAATAATAATGAATTCTACACCTGAAAATAGGCAACTAATTATTTTATTTTTAATTTAATAAGTAAAAATTAGTGGAAGTTAGTTAGTGAAAAACTAATTATATAAATAGTCTAATAAATTGTTAGTTAATTATTAAAGATTAAAATAATAGAAAATTTGATTTAAATCTAATAATTTGATTAGTATACATATAAAATACAAAAGAAGGCTTTAGTTATAAGGAATTTAAAAGTAGTGAAATTTTTTAATTAAATAATTGTCAAATCATGATTTCATCAAATAGACTAGTTTTGAATGAATGATAATTCGAAATAGAAAAATAAATAAGGAATTGTTTATTTTATGTCAAAAATTTTAAGGAAATTGTGGAATTAAGATTGAAAAATTATTTTCAATTCATAATTATTTTAATTATTATTATGGCAGATAAAAATGTGTTTTAAATAGTGGAAGGTTTTAGTTATAAGTAAAAAATTATAACTCAAATTAGGTAATTGAATTAGAAATTGCTTATTTAATAATAATATTAATTCAAGAATGTTAATCCTTCAAAGCATTACTCAAAAATGGCGTGATGTGCTTTTACAAATCGTCGGTCAGAATGAAGAAGGTACATTGGTGTCATCCTCATGTTTGCAATTTTAAAACTTATGATTGGTTTGTCTAACAGAGTCGCGCGAGTTAAATAATTTAAGCGTAATTTGAGTAATCCATTTCCATTTTCAATTTCAATTAGTCATTATTTTAATTGGTAAAATATTCAAAATACTGCGTCTCAAATATACACTAATTGATGGACACACGACTCGTGTAACATTTACGTAAATACGTATGTTAATTGAAAAAGTACGTTCATTAATGCTATTACCATGAAATAAATTCATTTTACATTTATTTTTTTCATGTAATCCGATTAGTTTGCAATCAAAGGTATAACGTGAATGCGAAAAAAAACATTCATATATAAATAGATGCGCAGTAATTAAACTCTGTTTATTTGCACGTCAAACATAAGGGTAATTATTTTGAAATTATGATCGACAAACTGTTAATGATGCGATTAAATTCAATACTACATACATACACAGTTTTAATCATTTCCGCATTTTCAATAATTAAATAACTGATTGCGTGTAATACTAGAACATAAATAAATCAAATGTTTACAGACATTCGACAAAACCGATTCGATAATTAATTATGATTCATCGCGGGTTTGCCGATTTTTCACGTTTCCATTTTGTTTATTTTATGTATATATATATATTTTTTTGCTCTGACGATCACATTTTTGTAGCCCTTTATGATGTGCAAACAAACTGCGTCCGATTGGGATAAAAAGAGCAAGCGAGGGCCCTTTGTGGGTGGACGCAATTAAAAGTCCTTGTTTGCGTTTAATACACGACGATTTGCGCAAACACATCATCCAATTGGACGCAATTTAATTACGCAAATAATAAAATTAATATGACGTTTTCAATTACGTTGTGTAATTATATTTTGTCTGTTTAATTGAATATAGGCAAAATAATTGACATTTATATAAATTAAAAAAAAAATATTTTCACTGTATTTTATAGCTTTAATCGACTTTTATTTGTTTGAAAAGTTGTATTAAGTAATAAAAGAGAAGAATAATTAAGGTACAATTAAACCAACAAATTTCGCAACATAACTCTCTCTACGAGGTTNNNTAATGAATCACTTGTGGATTTGCAGTGACCCTACTGCTTGTATTCAACCACTGAGATGAAATTTAACCACGTGGTTTATATTTGTTATATAAAGACGATTTATAGAAATTGTTTAATATATAAATAAAATTAATAATTTTTTGAAAAATAATTAAAAATTAGGGCGGAAAGACTTAGGTCGATATCCCTTTGGTTACAATTCGTGACTAATAAAGATTTTTATTATTATTATTAAAAATTATTGAAATGATAAATATTTTATTTGAAAAACTATTTTAGAAATTATTATAGGAAAATATTTTTTTAAATTATACATGATATTCCCAACTACAAAGATCTTTTATTTAACGTACTAAACGAGTTATAAAAAAATTAAATTCTTGAAGTCTAATTTTTTTTTCATATAATCATTATAAAAATTATTATAGATAAAAATATAAATCCTTTTTACAAATTATTGTAAATTTTATGCATTGCATTATACAAATATTTATTTTAAAGTCTTACAAATACTACTAAAACTACTACTATTATTAAAGTTTTCATAACTTTTTATTTTGGACAATTTTTTTTTTTAAGTGAAAAGTAAATATTTTTTGTTTGAAAATACAGCATGTAATTAACAATTATATTATAGAAAAAAAAATAGGGAATGTTGTGTCGGTTATGTTAGAAATTACGTGTGATAGACAAAATTATTTTTATTGGCTATTTTTATTTTCCAAATTATTTAGTATGTTAGTCTTGCCACTTATAGAAATGAGTTGCACAATATAAAATATAATCATTGTTTTCTCTTTTTCATTATAAAAAAAATTGTACGTTCATAAATTTTCCAAATTATTTGATGTGTTATTGTGACCTTATGTCACGTTTTACTATAAATACCAATACTACTCAAAGTAGATGTAATATGCTTTATGCGTTTTTAGATAAATTCATAATGGGTATGTTCTTTAAAATTGGCAATTATTTAATAGAGACAGGATGTAATTAAATTGATATTATCGAAAAATTTATGGAATGTCGTATCGGAAATTGTTTCAATTATGTACGTGTGCCGTGGAAACGGAGCCAAATAAATAATGGCTACGACGTCGAAAAGATGATAGGAAACGTTTTGGGGGTCAGCACCTGGAGCAGCAGTAACGCGGAGAGGCGGAGACAGGAAGGGCAGTAAAGCACCGGGACGTGAAGCATTGTCGATTGCAGCAGGTGTTATTGTTGTCCTCGTAAATTATCGGGGTAAAGGGGGTGCAACTTTACCAGTTCATAATAATTAAGCGAATTCGTGGAGGAGTCGATACATCCACAATATACACACACCCCCTTGACAATTCCGAAAAGAAGAATTAAAGAAAAGCGAAAAAGAAATCTCGAACCTTAATTAGATATTCAAATGCGAATGCGGCGTGGAGCTCTTCATCAAATATGCATACCTAATTCCGAGCTTGAGTACCTGTACTTTTGCATATTCCGATTTGATCTTCGCCTCGCTCGTGGCATCCGAAGAATGCGACGCCAAAGGGGTGTAAGAGGGCGCAACTCAATAGGGGCTTGCGTGTCTTCTGGTAGACGCTTACGTCTCCACCACCATCACCGCTTCATAATTGATAGACGTCGCATAGATTTTACTTCTGTCGACAGACAGATTGGCTTTGTGACACACGCGCTCTATGACGCCCTTTACCTGCCTCAACTAACATCGTTATTTCGATAATCTGGTAAAGCGCGCGCTTGCTGAAATTAGATAAATAGAGGCCAGCTTTTCGAGGCTTCAAACAACCCGGAAACGGATCGTTTTTAATAGAATCCCTTGGCGAGAAGAAAGTTTCCGGTGTCCCGCATTCCTCCCTCTTTGAATACAAATTTGCATGTTTTTGTTAATCTTCCCGTGAGAAGGGAGGGAGAAGGACGAAGGGCGGACGGCGGCGACGGCTGGCTGAAGTGAGCTAATTTGAAAGAGTCCTCGGACCCGCGACTCACGAGCCGCGACCCGCGACAAACTGTTTTAACTCAAGTTTTAATAAGTTAAAGGATTAGCTTTAGGCAGTTGGTCGGCCCTTTTTTGTCTCTTCTTTTTTTCACATTTTTTTATTCATTCCTCTTCTTTCTATTAAGACACTGCCAGCTTTATGCATTAGAAATAAGGTCGCGCCATTTGAATCCCTCAAGAGGAAACAAAAAACGAAAAGCCCTTTTAAGCGCTCCGCAAAAAGAATAAATGAACATGAACTACTCTCAATCTCATATTTTCATATATACATTTTTCTTTGCGTTCCCTTTGGAATGTACTCATCTCAAATTATTCAATTTCACTTTTCGTGTTTATTTATTTATCTTTTAAATCAACTTAAAGTTTATTTTATTTCAATTTTCACCTAAATCTAACAAGCGCCAATAATTAAATTAAATATATTTAAGCATTCAATAAAACTTAGTAATTAACATGAACTACTTTTTATCTCATCTTTTCATATATCTTTGCAATGTTTAGTAGCTTCCTCTTTCTCTTCAAGCTTTTTTAACAAGTTTTGATCAAAACCTTAAAAATTTAAGAAAAAATTAATTCAACCACATACAAATTTTATAAGTATTTTATTAAATTTTTGCAATTACAACTTTCTTTTTTATTTGCGTTTGTTTCATTTATTTAGAATTTTTTAATGGTTAGTGATTCAATGAAAAACTTTTTATAAATATACTTAATTTTATTCATTTTTTAAAATTTACAAATTTTTCTTTCTAAATATTTCATTTTATTAAATATTATTTGAAATTTCAATCTAAATTTTCCAGACTCAAAAAAAATGTATGGTATCATTTGATTTTAATTAAAGTGTAAAGATTTCTTTTTCATTGTAACCTCATCAGACCAGGTAAAACTTAATATATTTTTCTATGTTATTTGTTCCACAAAAAAAATGTGTGTTAATAAATGTTATTGTTACTATATGTTTGATTAGTATATTTCTAAATGTTAATGCATTGTTGAATGTTAAACGACTTCTGTATATATTGTAATTTTGTTTAAAAAAAATAAGCCCATTGCATGCAATTAAAAAAAACTGTACTCATCTTTAAAAAAAAACATATTTACTTTTTTTTAGTAAACATTTTAGGTTCTACAAAATTTTATCGTGTTTATTTATTTATTTATTTCAAGTTGTTATTTCAGATCAAAAATAAATAATACACTGTGTAGTTTTCTTGTTTGTTTTTAATTGTAAATTCGGGATTTTTAAGAATTTCTGTTAATTTATTTAAGTTTGTTTTCCAAATTAATCGATGTTAATAAAAAAAACGCAAAAAACACAATAGATGTTCTTTTATTTTATCTATTATATTTAAGGCGTAAGAAAAGATTTTCGTGTAATTTAAGTTACTTATAAGATGGGCAAAGATGTGATGTTCAGGTAGATGTCAATCGATGTGCTTAGAGTGTTACAAAATACAGGCACAAAGTAACATCAATTACTATATATGTATGTTATTTGCACAATATCTATATGTACAGAGTTTCGTTGTATCCTCTCTTCTATTGTAGACCCTTTTCCAATAATTGTTTCGGTGGACTGAGTTCATGTTTGTCTGTTTGCACATTCCCTTTTACGAAAGTTTGTTACACTTGCTTTATATACCTAATTTCATAGAATGGCTTAGAACATGTTTTTTTTACGTAGCAAGCCTATGATTGGTCGTCTCCCCTTCCAAACTAGGCTAACAAACCCAACTGATTATTATTTCGTTCTGTAATGTTAAACGTTCCCGATGTACGTACACCGACTAACTTTTGCCCCCCAGTGATCGATTAGGGAGCACCCTGTATATTGAGGAACGTTGCGGAGAGAACGAGATACAGTTTTGGAGGTTGTTGCTGATTTTGATGTTTTGTCGCAGGTGTGGCCTACCAGCCCGAGTTTACAGAACCTATCGTTAATTTGACGATTCCCGTGGGAAGGGATGCCACGTTTCGATGTCTCGTACACCACCTGGGAGGATACAGAGTGAGTATAATATAATGAACGACCTACACCCAAATTCATATTTCACTTTCGACTCTATACATATACTTTCCAATCACATATATATTTCTATATATAAAAATTCAACATAAGTTTTTTGTAGAAAAAAAAAATGGTATTTCTGCCGCACCCTGTATATAAAAAGACCTATTTTAATTGATTCTAATAATATTATAAAAAAATGTCTGGTATATAAATTAATGTGGTATTATAAATAAATGTCTCTAATTGAGCATCAATCAAAAAATGCATTGTGTTTCTGTAGAAGGTTTATACAAATTTACCTCTTAGCTCAATATTTGTGAAGGACTTTAAACTGCTTTAAATTCAATTATTTATTTACCATAATGCTTTAATATAATATGAGAATAAAAATTTAATGATCAATCTCAACTCGGTTTATATAAATAGAATTAATTTTCTTTTATAAATATTAAAAAAAAATATAATAACATAAACATTTCACCGATATTTCATTTTATAGAGTATAAGTCAGTGGTTCTTAACCTTTTTTGTGACATGCCTCACCAAAGTCTATCTAAAATTATTTTGCCCTCATGTAACATATACATAATACGCCATAAGGTTGTAGGCCCGACGTTGGAAAACACTGGTATAAGTGAATTGTATTTCTACAGAAATATATATTAAGAAAAGAAGAAAAAATTAAGAAAGTCCCTTTATTTGGGTTTTCGATGGAGTCGTTCCGCTTCGAAGGTTTTATTGTTCCTTCAATACAGATGATGCAAATCCCTTCATTACGTAAAATTATTGACGGTCTATTAGCGACGGTTGCTCTGCCGTCTCTGTGTTTGAGCTTTTAGTTATTTCAGAGGCGAACTTTAAGAGATGTAGCGTTTAGGTTGGTAGTCGATCGATCGGACCTCGTGTGATGGCACAAAAACCTATTGTGGCATTCATGGCACGCTGTTATAATAATAGAAGGGGACCGAGTGCTACCAAGCTATGTCTGCGATATATAGCGTGTTACTGCTAATAACTGAAAATATTGGACGACGGTCAAAGAGGCGGCGACGTTCTGCGGGCACGCGACTACTGCTAGCACACTCTGCTTCTGATAAATTGACTTCATGAGAGCTCTCCAATCCGTTCTACCTGTTGCTTGCAGCTAAAAACAACACCAGATCTATCTATATATATACTTCATATATATATATACAGTGTATATACGTTTATGCAAATAAATTTATAGTCGTATTGCTGGCTGGATATGATCAATGCTCTTGAGGTTTTGAAACATTCTAAGTAGTCGAACGGTCAAAATGACCCGTGTCTGGACGCATCTGTGCACCATCAGCTGTCGGAGTTGATGAAGAGGTGGCGGCAGCTACCACCGTGGCAAAGAGCTTTTGGATACTACCAGCAGCAGGAGCGGCAGCAGCTTCGACGTATGTAATAATAGTGCAGATATGACAAATGGCCGAAAAGCGCCACAAACTTGGGATCATTTATAATACACACAGCTGTGGAGCATAGGTTGGACTCGTGACCGGTGGCCGCTAAGGCACATCCCATCATTTGGCAAACATCCCACACCTACAAGAAAACTTAAAAAAAAAGAGAAAATACTTACATATTTACTTCAAACTTTACAAAATACTATTGATAGAAATATAGCAAATTAATAGAGACTAACACTAATCAAACAAATAATACATACTTGAAGTACATCTTTATACGTAAATTATTAATAAGAATATAACAAAGACTTATAATAATTATAATTTTTTAATTACAAAAACAATTCAATATTGTACATATTTTGGTAAACATCTTTAATTAGATAAAATAAGAAAACTATCGAGAAAAGGGATATACAAATATTTACTATAAATTTTAATATATAAAATGGAGTATTAATTTATATAAACATAAATTGTTTATACGAGCTTTTTGATTTTATTTTTTTTTTTGCTCTATAAATATGTGGAAGTAATTGGATCTAGAACTGAAATTTGAGGTACGGATTTTCATGTAATAGGGAAATGTTGTCTTAATTGGACCATTACATAAGTTGTACCACTATTGTAACTAGACCGTCATAGAAAATGAACGTAATTTGGTAGACAACATAGATATAAAATTACATAGATTTCCTAATATTGATTATGTATTATGTATATAGCTAACAGTTTTTTTTTGTAATTTTACATCATTTTAATTTTAATATACATTTTTGCATTTAGGTGGTCCAAAATTGGCAACTTTTCTTCTAGATAACATATAAAGTAAAGATTATTTTGGTTCTTATAGAGCAAAAATTATAAATAAATGAACAACAAATTAATTAAATTCAAATGTTTGATTAAGATTTTGATAAATTTAAGATTGAATAATAGATAGATACGTCGAATACACTGATTAATTTCGGCAACAATGACTAATATGTGTATCCAGGTCCTAATAGAATAACACCATTCAATTCTACAATTAATTAGTGCTAATTGCTATTGACGCTTCGATACACCCAAATCTTGTTGACTGTTAAACTAATAAATTTTCCAGGACAATTGATTACCTGTGTCTCTTAATTGAATGAACAAATAATGTAATCAACAAGTGATGGCACGAAACTACATTCATCTATGTATTAGAGAAATCATCTTATTATTAAAATCGCATTTTTTTACAACTTATAATTTCTTATAGGATGTATTAAATTTAATATTAGTTAATACAACATGATAAAAAATATGAAATGCCATGATTGCCAAAAATCTTCTAACCGGTAAAACAAATTATGAACACATTTGTAGAAAATTATGTGTACTGGATTGTTATTACTTCAACTACTTGAATAATCAATTATACCAACAATTAGGAAATGCCACAAGTACTCTGGAACATGCAGTGAAATCGTTTTCTTAGAGTCGATTGTATATGGTGAAAACTGTTATGTAATATTTTGATAAATTTTACTTTATTTACTTGAAAAATAAGTGATCCAAAGGATTGCGTAATGGGCAAGAAATATAGTAAAAAAAATATATTTAGAGTTAGTTTTTGCATAGAATCTTATAAGCTTTGTTGTATAAATACAGAAATAATTATTGTAAAGTTGATAATTATAAAGGTTAATGATTACTTATATGCTGTATACTTAACGAAAAGTAGTTAGGTTTTTGTTTGTTTAAGAAGGAAATATAATAGGAACAAACCACTAACGACCAAAGCTTTTCTACTTTAGAACTCATAGTTAACTAATGTTTACTAGTATTTAATAGTTCAGAGAAGGATCCGCATAGTTTTTTTTATCCGTATACGAAACAAGCAAGTGTGTTTGTATCAGAGCAGGCGTTCCGTATGCTCCCTTTAATTACGACCAAAGCTGTACAACACGATGTTGTATAAGCTTTAAAAGTGAATTATGCTCCCTCTCTAATAACAGGCTGCACGCGTGCAACAAAAGCCGACACAAATGTTTGCACACTTCACATCAAACAATGAAATGTGTTGCATCAATCGGACCTGTAGGAAAGAGCAACAAAAAAATAAAAATAGTGATCAATTTCAGGTACCTTTTTCTAGAGAGACGCTGCTTGTCTTTTATTTTCCTGTTTTCTTTTCATTTGTTTCATCTGCTCGGTCCTCCTGCTAAGATCAATAATGTGCATCCAAGGATCAACCTTACGCGTTTTCTCGCTTTGCACTCAAGGACCATTTATTGATTCTCCTCTCTTCACACATTTATCTAGTTTATAGGATAGAAGTGTTATTTGTTTGTAATTAACTTGCTAATCAATCCATGCATAAGATTAGTATTAAATGCTTTAGATTTTGTAGTGGCGAGGGGAGGATTTAGATAAAATTGAAATACGGTTGAGGAACGTGTGTTTATTGATTCGGAAAAGCGTCTTTCAATATCTCGAGTGCATTGATATTTCATTTGGCGCGTGTGTTGATCCCGAACACGCAGATGTCCCGTGGATGGTCGTGCTGCATACCAAACAGTTGCGAACAACTGTTACAACACTTATCTTCTGTTCTAGGTTGGCTGGGTAAAGGCTGACACCAAAGCTATCCAGGCTATACACGACCATGTCATCACCCATAATCCGCGAGTCGGCGTTTCTCACACGGACCATACCACCTGGAACCTGCACATCAAGAACATCCAAGAAGAAGACCGCGGTCAGTACATGTGCCAGATCAACACCGATCCAATGAAGAGTCAGGTGAGTGTGCAACAAGTGTATTACAATTACACAAAATTTGCTTAGGTTTTTTTTTTGTTTTTGTTCGGTTGTCACCGAAATTTGATTAACTCCTGGATGAAGCGGTGAATTGGGAGATGGCAAGACCCACCAGAAGGTCGATTTCCAATCACATCGGTGTGCTCGTTTAATTATACGAAGCGTATGTTTGACTTGGGAGTTGAGCGCTTCCAAAACATCCAACTTTATATTTGGGTCTGCAGGCTAGACTCTGTTAACGTTCCTAATGAAAGGGCTAGAGAACCAATCACCGGTTAAACTCATCAATTAGATTGTTATGTGTACTATTTCAAATGCAATCTTCCTATACCTTCTACGCCCAGTGGTAACGATCATCGTTATTATTATTATTATGATTATTATATGAAGTTGCGAAGCGAAGGACGTGGACTGGTGGCCCTTGTGCGGCAATTGTCTCTTCTTAAATTCAATTAATTTATTCTAAAACTTTATTCTTGTTTGGGAATCGGAATTAATTTCATTATGCGATGGCCGGGGTAATCCGAGACAAATTGATGGAAATTCCGTTCCAGATATGCCACGGCGTTCAGTCGACAAACTAAATTTCTCTTAAATTATATTAATTATATATAAATTGAGAACAGTAATGGGACTGACCAGACCTAGTTTGTCGTTTAACCGCAGGTGCAATACTGCGTTTAACAATTGTAGTATTATTATCTAAATGCTTACTAACTTTATTGATCTATTCAATTATATATTAGAATATTTCAATAAACAGAATATATGACATTTCTTTCTTTTAAAACTTTTGATTAAATGAAGAAAAACATTTCAAAATATTTCAACTAATAAAATATTTTACATTTATGATTTTTTTTGTCGTCTTTCGATTTTCTTAAACACTATTTTAGTATTCGTACTTTTCCTTTTCTAATTTTACTATTATTGGTTTTTTAATGTTTTAATTATAATGAAGACAAATATTTTAATCATATAATTATTTTTCAAAAAATATATTAAATTACTTATTATTACTTTAATTATTTCACAAATTGAAAAAGGTAAATGAATTTATTAAAGTACAATTTCTATTGCATACGAAGATTGTTACAAACTGTTCCATTTATAGTAGAGATTATCACAACCACAATAGGAAGAAACATGTTAATATAAATTGAAAATATAAAGTTGGTGCGTTTCGCAGACTTCTACTCCCACGCCAAATCTTACATTACACTTTCAGCGAAAATTTCCATGGTTTTTTATAATAATATTCTTTTTTGGTTTTCATGTAATTATTGGGTTGTTCTAAATACGGTTGAGATGGTCAATAGGTTTTAACAATTCTGATAAATTTAAGCATCGTCATTAGTACTTAGCGAAAATCGACACATATTTTAAGAAAAACGCAATATTTTTGACTTTACATCGAAAGGAATAATTGAGGACATGTTCTTAATATTCCTTATTTTATAAAAGCTTTATATAATGTTCTAACGTAATTAGGTTGCGGATAGTATGTTATTTATTTTATGTTACAGCTCGGAGTCCTGGAAGTGGTAGTGCCTCCTGATTTCGTAGCTGAGGAAACATCCGGTGACATCATGGTGCCCGAAGGCGGGCTTGTGAAGCTGACTTGCAAAGCCTACGGTCATCCAGAACCGCACGTTCAATGGCGCAGAGAAGATGGCAACCATATCATCATCAAGGAGCCCTCAGGACTCCGAACCAAAGGTACTGTTCGCCTGTATCGCGATTAATATCGTTGCAAAGAGAAGCTTGCTCTCACCAATACATAAGATGCCCTCCTCCACTATATATATATTTTTTTTGAAAGCTAACAATAGCCATTATTGTGCCGTCGTCGTAAGTATATTGCTTTGCTAAGATCAATGGAGGCGGCGAGTCGGCCCCGAGCAAGGAGCGATAGCGAATGCGAAAAGCACGGCACGGTCATCTAGATGCAACTACACTCCAGAGGCCCCCGAGGCGCTTCCACCCATACCCCATACCGCAACAACAGTTTCCATCCCCTCGCGCACCAATAAAATAAATAGCAAAGTCAGAGGAAGAGAGGGCAACCAAAAAAAACATCTACACATATATATCTATATATGTGAAAGCCTTTTGGAAGAATCAGCTCGATGCTGTAACGTGTCGTTATTCGGTCATAAACGCGATTCGATTTCCGCGGCGGGCCACAATTGGGGAAGCCGTTAATATGACTGAGGGCCCGTAGGTATGAAGAATTAGACCGCCAGTTATCGATCCCGGGAATTCCCGTTTACATACGTAATGATATCTCAACTTTATAGCATAAGTAGTTTGGATTCCCCACATTCGTTTCGCGGATCCCGACTTTCCTCGTAATCTGTTGGTTTAGCATTAGGTTACACACACACTTACACGCACACTCTAGAACATATATGTGCACAAATACTTAGACACACGTATCAGGGAAAACGAGAAATATCGCTTATCGCATTGTAAAGGGCTATTCCTTGTTGTTGTTGCAGTGCTGTTGTATCAGGGCGAGTTGCTACGCCTCGTTAGGATATCCCGATCAGAGATGGGGGCTTACATGTGTATCGCATCGAACGGCATCCCTCCGACTGTCAGCAAACGCATCATGGTTAACGTTCATTGTAAATATACCAAGGCGTCCCACAAAGCGTCGTAGCTATGATTAACCTTTGTTTCTAGTTCACCCAGTGATCCAAGTACCAAACCAGCTTGTCGGTGCCCCGCTGGCCACCGACGTCACCCTCGAGTGCTTCGTAGAAGCTTCCCCAAGGGCCATCAACTACTGGGTCAAAAAAACAGGTTTACTTTTATTGCAATTTATTTTATACACTACTATTTAACATCATGGTACATTTAACGTGACAACTACAGTTATCCCCAAAACAAGAATTAATTACAAATATTTTGAAGTTTATATTACATATAGCAGTTTCGCAATTATTATTAAGTTACCATAAGTGGCGGATATGGCCATTAGAGCAAATTTAATACGATTCTAAAAGATCTAAAGGGTTGTTTTAAATTGTTTTTTTTTTATAAAATTACATGTCAACAATTGTCAGCATAGAGAACAGAAGAGCTATGCTATCCGACTTCTATGAGTTTTGCTTTTCATTTGCATCGGAATGCGGGTTCCGTCTATATGGCAATGTTCAATTATATCCATCAGAGCCTCCTCCCCCCTAACATGTGGATGTGTGCGGTTTTTTTTCTATTTAAATAAACTCCTAATTAAAACGCGCTTTATGCCAGCCGCTAACAGATCGGGTTTCAATTAAAAGCGCATAATCGTGTTTGTGGCCGAAGTGAGTTATTATCATGGTGCCGATCATCGTCATCATCAACAACATCATCATCATCATCATTGCTACTAGTCCGGCAGTCGATACGATCATCATGAATTATGGCCCACAAAAGCCTCCCCCCATTTAAATCGGATGCATGCATGGAAACGGACGTGACGCATTAAGAATTAGCTGCGAGATAGAATTAAGTGCCGCTTCATTAATCATTCGGCAGGAAGTTTTCGTCGGCCGCTCCTGCTGCGATGTTTGTCCTGATGTTATCATCCTTACAAAAAAGAAACTCGAAAATGAAAAGAAAAAAAAACACGTCATCACGTCAATATCCCTATGTTCGCAGGAGAAATGGTGATCACCAGCAGTAAATACGAAGTCGAAATCATCTACAAGTCCATGTTCGAGGTCAGGATGACCTTGATGGTACGTAACCTTGAACTGGAAGACATCGGCACATTCAAATGCATTGCTAAGAATTCTATTGGCGAAGTTGAGAGCAGCATCCGCATTTACGGTGAGTTCCCAAACAAAACTATATTCTTCTTAATTAATTAACTATTTTTTTCAAAGTAATATAAAAATTGGGTTACTATAATAATAATTCAGGTAAAAAATGTGAAATAGATACTGCATCGATTATTATCCAAATTTTAATTAACAAGAATCTCGACTTTGTATATCAAAACTGGAGACAGATTTTTCTCAATTTTCATTATAAACTATAAAAAAAATAAGAGGAGCGGAAATCTGAGACTTAAGGCTGTTTTAACTAAGGAACAGCGTGTTAATTAATATTACAATATTCTTAATTAATATTCTCGAGGAGGTGGAAAACTGGAAAATATAATAATTATGCGACGTAGATGCAGATATTAACGAGACTTTATAATTACTTACCTGTTTTAATCTGATTAGTAACTATAAGTAACTCAAATATACCAGGTGTTTATACTATAATAAATATTTCAATTAAAATACTTTTTTTTTTAAATTTATTGAATTATTGTATCAAATATACTTGTCTACTATTTAATAAATTTAAGATATTTTTACGTTACTGCATCCTAATTGCATTTTATAATGGGTAATGGAAAACAAGATACTTGGAAAGTATAGTCTAGTGAGCAGACGGCTTAAAATTACAGCGTTTATAATCGGCTTAACTTAATCAATACATTCGTATGCTTTTAATCTTGTATTTAAAAAAAAATAAACATGAAATTTACTTAAGAGACGTGAACGTAGCTGTTGCCTTTTTTGTAATTTTAAAAAAAAATGTTTACTGCTATTATCCTACAATGAAATGTTATTATTTAATATAGTTATAATTTAAGAGTTGAAAACATGTTTTGTGTTGTAAAAAAGGAATGTTATAGCACTAGAACATTTTTATATGTATAATGTTTATATTTAAAATAATATCTCTAGTTCGACTAATAGTTTGATTTTTTTAAGAAAATGTTGTTATATAAATGAGTGAGTCAAATCCATAAAAAAACATGTTTAATTTTTATGTTTTTTAGCAAAAATATCCAATTTGAATTATTTTATGAATTCATCAAAAAAAATGTTTAATGTTTATGTTTCTTAAAAAAATCTCTAGTTTGAATAATCTAATGATATTTAAAAAATGTCCTAATACAAATGAATGAACGTTTTATCAATTTTATTAATGAATATATAAAAAAACATGTTCAATGTTTATGTTTCCTAAAAAATCTCCACTCAGCCTAATCATGTGATTCTTAAAAAATATGTTGTAATGACTGAATTAAGTCCAATAATTATTTACATAGAAACATGTTTTAATGTTTTTTTTTAAGATCTCATATTCAGTGATTTATAATAGAAATTTGTTGTAATAACAATGAACTAGTGAAATATATCAAATGAAGGACAAATCTTTATGATTAAAGCTTGAAAAAATATTATATTTTTTTTATTGTTCGTGGATGATGGCTCACGTTGCGTCTGTTGTCGGCGTTGTTGTTTTGCAGAAATCCCTGGACCGACAAAAATCTACAGCCCACCGGAAGACATGGAGGAAGGAGACGAAGAAAAGTTGGGATCCGCGGAGCGCGACGGCCGCCGCCTGGATCGTGGTAAACTCCAGAATACTGCTACAGCATTAGCTCCACGGGACACCCAAAGGAGCGTCATCGACGACAACTCGGCGCGCATCTCTAGCCCAATGATCCTGATCACTATCCTCTTAGCTGCATTCCTCATCTTCATCCCTTTGGCGATATAAATCCCCTCTCCGGGTAAAACGACTCCCTATTTGTGTAGTGACAATAACATGTTCCCTTTACGTTTCCGTCTCCCAACTCTCGATTCCATCGTAGGATATGAATAATGCTGCTGGTTTCAACCCTGAATCTCAATCTTTCACTCACCCAAACTCTATCTCTATCTTTGTCTATCTGTATTTCCCCTCTATGTAACTATATCTATATATAGACGTTAATAATATGTATTATCAATATAAACAAGTATAATTATAATTGTATATGGCGTTGCCAATTATAGCTTCAGGATGCATGGATTGAGCGAAGGATCTGCTGTGGTATTGCGAGGAACTGATGAGAGAGACCGTACGGTTTGTTGCCTTAAATGTATATGTATAACTGGAATCATAGATTCGAGGTATATTAGAATGGGTATACCCATTTTCTTTAGAAAAATACTGTTTATGGAATATATATAAAAAAAAGTATAATTCATAAAATAATTCACACACAAGAGCAAGAAGAAACAAATATTATTATATGAATATACTATATCTATATTATATGTTATATATTACTATTATCTAAGTCTATTGTTCGCTGCATAAACCTTATATATGAATATGTATGTATATGGGGTCCAAACGTATATATATACATAAACATATATATCTATATTTAATCTGATGATATAATACATAATAACGAATTACTCCCTCTGGATGGAAAATAAATCGGTGTAAAATAATTCCCAGTGCGTTAATTTACTGACAATCCCCCATCACTCTCCTTTACGCTCAACCAATTATTGGCAATTACGGTGAATTCTGATATGGAATTGATACAGCGCGACTAGTATTTACTTACTAATGCTTTGCAAATAATTGTATGTACTTTAACCAATTGAAATACATTGCATCAAGAATATCAACTCAATTTGACATTGTTTTTTTTTTCAAATAATTTTATAGTTTGAATGAAATAATTAATATAATTGATAATTTAACATTTATTAATGAAAATGAAACAATACTAAGGTACACTGCTTCATATAATAAAAAAAAACAACACAAGCGATTTGACGAAAGGTGATTTACGTAAACAAAATTACGAAAAAAAATACAAATAAAAAAATAAAAATTAAAAATAACACATTTTTCTCAAACAGACAAAAAAAAATGTAATTAATTTCAGTGATAGATGTGAAGAGTAAAATTTTCAGCTAAGTATATATTTAGATTTATTAGTGTACATGAAAATAAGCAAATATTTACATTTCAAAATGTTCTAAATTTTATAATCAAAATTTAAATAATTATTTCTGCTTTTACGTATCTAATTACGTATTACGCACACTTTGTAATATTTTTTTTTCTAAATTATATTATTTGGTCATTTTCCTTATTTCATATATGCATCAAGGTAATCAGGTAAGAACCACAGGTAAATTCCATAGACGAGAAAGAGTATGTACTTATATATTAATATTATTTTTTATTACTAACTAAACAAAATGAATTATTTTTTAATTGAAATTTTAATTTTTTTAATTTTTATTGTTAAATTTATATTAGTTTCTTAAGTAGAATAAATATTTTGTGCAGTAACAAAAATATTTGGAAAAATTCTCATTTTTTTTCTTCTATTATACTTTTTGAGACAACATTAGTGTCGTGTTTTCAATTAAATCTAGATATTATTAACTATTTTTTAGTATTTGGAAAAAAAAAACTTAAATTTGTTACAATTTTCATGAATTAAACTTTAATTTTCATCTATTGTCTTTCATATTTCTTGTCATAGTTATTGAATTTATGAGTGGATTGTTAAAGTTTCCATTAAAAAAAGTAAAGCTAAGATTATTAATTTGATGGTATTAATTTGCTTGAACAACATTTTTCACGCTTGTCTCAAGAAAGCAGTATGAAAAAAATAAGAACACGAGACGAACGAACTGCGTCGACGACATTTTTTCATTATAGGAATATTTACAATTATTTTTTGTTATTTTTTATCGACGCGCACAACATCGTCTTTTTACGCGTTTCCCATCTAAATGCACATTTTATATATAGAACAAATATTTTTTCCCTTTCTTCAGTTCCTCCCTTGAGCAAAACCCCGCATCTGGCGAGCCGGGGGTCGTTATATAATGCATAGCATATTTTAATTAGACGGCTACCAAGGAATCTGATGGTAATTTCAGGATCTGGCGGAAAGGCGCGCAACCATCTGACGAGACTTTATTACAGCTACTTAGATAAATGGCTGCTAAATGGGCAGATACCCCGTAATGCGTGGCGTGGCGCACCCCGAGTTTCCACAATTTGCGAAGCCGGGAAAGCGAGTCGCGCGAGGAAATGTGTTGCACGCAGCATTCATCATCGAGCGATACCACGGAACCGGCATAAATCTGTGCAAAAAGACAACCCCCGCTACCGTTCCACCCGTTTTGTACCCACCGAAGATCGCATGGCAAAAAAAAAGTCATCTATAAGTTTTGGCATCGCTTTCAGGTATTTTTCAGACGTAATTTCCTATGCAGGAGACTGTGCGCGCGCCCTGAAAGAATCTTGAAAAAAAAATTAACAAAATAAAAATCATTCTAAAAATTATTTTATACAAAGAAAACTCAAAGTAGAAAAGTTCTAAAAGTAATATTTTTATTAAGATAAATTTATCTATAGAAATGTACATATTAATTATTATAATTAAATCAAATTATCTAATTTAAATTAATTAATTAATATACTTTTTTTTCGTCTTTTATATAAAAATTAACATATTTAATTTTGATGAAAACCACTCAAAAAGTATATTAATCTTTATATTTTATTTAAATTGCTTCTTATAGATACATTTTTGGAATGGAATTCTTTTGAAAGCGTAAAAGTTTGGTATGGATTTTTACAAGATGCATATTGAATTTTGAATGATTGTTAAATAAAGTGGGAAATAATTTCCCGAGAAATGCAAGCTAAATTGTATGTTTTCGGACGAGGTAAAACAATAGTTCTACTTTAACTAAGGTTTGATCGATCCGTTTTCTCAATGTAAGTATGAGCTAGAGTGCAGAAACATAATTCATTATTAACCAACTAAATTTTGCTTGCGCTGCTTCGTAGATGTATTTGTGAGATAAAAAACAGTTTACTGATATACCCAAGCTTAGTTTAATTTGAACTCCAATTAAGCGAGTCAGGCTGTATCTTTCCGACGACGACATTCTTAAAAAAAATACTTGAAACTTAGTTTGACATTAAGTGTGGAGAATGTTTGTTGAACTGTAATTAAAAACAAAACATATACATTTCAAGTTAATAGATTTAGTTTAACATTCATAGAACTGAAAAATTAAGGATTTTTTTTAAATGTAGAATAATTTGATAATTACAATAATTTTTCAAAGATCAATTAAAACACAAAAAATAAATTTAATAATAATTAATTGCATTTAATTAATTTAATTAATAATCAAATTAATTAAATTAATATATTTAATGTTTGTATTTGTTTATTTTTTTAAATAGTTAAAATTGAGGGAGGTAGAGATATTGAAGTTTTTAGAAAGGATTTAAGGGTTTGGGAAAGTTATCTTCTATTTAAAGGATTACAGAGAGGTTTATTTACGTGTCGGATTTTAGTGATTTATAGTTTACTTTTGAACATATGTTGTTTACAGAATCGTAATTGAAATTCTCATATATAAGAAATAGAATTGAAACTGAAAAATGTTGATGGAACTATATATATTTATTTGTAGGCTTTAAAAACAATAGATTATAGTTTAGTTTAACGGAAAAGTGTACGTTCATATGAACATTATGTATGGTAGTGCGAATTTTTTGTTTAGGAAAATAATGAGTTTATAATATCAATCACTATTAAGAAGTAGGTTGCGATTTATAGTAAATGATGTCGATTATACGGAAAAGTGTACGTTCATGTAAACGTTGTTTACGGTTGTAGCATAATTTGCATATGTACTTATTGTGTACGTAAATAGAGCGTCGACTTAATAAAGTAGGATATGAAGAATATTTGTTGAATTATGTTAATTTTGAAAAAATAGTCTTTACACTTTGATGTAGATTTCATTGGGAATATCAAGTAATGGAGTGGAAATGTTGTAACTTTGTTTGGATGCAGGTGTAGTTATAAAGGCGCAATGATTTTCATAACTAAACGTATATAAGAGTCGAGGATCGTGTCGGAGGAGTTTGTGGAGGAAGAATCTATAATTGGCCGTCGCAAGGGTCGAGGGGTGTCGGTGAGGAGTCCCATTGTCCGTGCGCGGAAAAGGGCGTCTGGAGGCTGGAGGATTGAGGATGGTAGATGGTCTGGTACCGTTTTCGGGCCTTGGGCCGCGGGGCGTGCATAATGCGGCGTATATCAAGATGACAATTCCTGCCTTTCAACTCGCCATATTTAATAGCTGCTCATTCATTGACGGAGAAAGGCCGTGACAAAGCCGCGTGTCTCTCAATACATTAATCGTTAATCGGCAGGGCTCCCGCTGCATCTCCCCCACAACCCTGAACGAACAAAGGGTCCCTGATCTATAAAGATGGGCCGTTCTTCACCAATTTCTCAGCTACATTTACCCCGAAATGTGTGCTGAATAGGACGTGCGACTGCGGCCACCGTAGATTTACCAGACTCCTGGCTCCTATCCAGTTGTGAAGATAACACCTGCAGCCTGAAAACAGAAAACCGCTAACAGCGAAACACCGGCCCTTCCGACTTCCCGTCACTGCCCCACTAATCAGCCTAATCTCTCAACGCCCTTCGATTTATCGATTGCGCCTTTCCACCAACCGCCTCATTTAAATAATGAAATGCAAATTACATAATTCGCTTTATCCCGGATGGATAATTAGAAGATTGCTCCGACCTTCGACCGCAACCATCGACATATCTCCCATAAGTCTACAACACTCACGTGTTTCCATTCTATCCTCAGTTTTATTTGCAAACCTATTACCATTAACGACAAGTACTAACTTCTAATGATCCACTCGACCTCAATCGATTTCAACATCTTAACTAACAATTGATTAACTCTTTATTCAAACACGCAATACTATACATATTCTAACTGTTATAACACATTCATCAGATCTTAATAATAAACTTTTATACTTCCATTTTATTGTTTCGAATACACATTCATACATTTGTAAATTATCATTTTTTCAAGATGTTTAAGTTCGAAATGACAAAAAAATATTATGTTTAATGAGTATATTTTATTTGTTTAGCTGTGATCGCACAGAAATTAACTGTTTGTCCAATTTACATGTCCATTTCACATATAATTATTTTAATCGGATTATTAGCATAAATATGACTCATTAGAGAACAACGTTAATTATGTTGAGCACAAAATCAATATGTGCATTAATAGATATTAGTTTTTTTTTAATAGAATATTTTTTTTTATACAAATTTGCTGTCCCATTATTATATAACAAATGTCAATTATTTTTCATTTGATTTACCTAACTTATTACTTAACTTAACATATGTATTAATATTTGCTATTCTTTTGATATTTGAGAAAAATAAATTATTTATTGTTGCAATTATTGTTTCATTTCCTTCAATTATTTTCATCATATTCCTGCAAAATAATTTACTTCAAATACGAAAAGTGTGAAAATTAATAAAATAGTTTAAGCAAAGTGGTTGAAAATTAAATAGAATTTTCTGGATTAAAGTTCACGAAGACATTTAACTAGGCTTCATTAATTTCAACAGGATGAAATTAGTGGGATTGGGTAAACATTTTCTGCGGCGTTTCGTCCTTTTGACATCGTTGGTTTTTTTAAATTATTTGTCTCGTTCCATGTCTTCAGTATTTCTGGTAAGTGTGTACTCTTATTTATTTTTTGCTTGTTTCTAGTAGAGAAGTTCCGTATATTTGCATCTTTTAGATGCGAACAAGTCTTTAAAACGTAAAAAAATTTCATGTGTAATTCTTATATTTAAAAAGTTTTTGTATTTACGCATTTATTTTTGTAATATGTAATGGAAAAATATTTGTAGAATTAAATTAATAAACTAAATTAATTAATGAAAAATTATTTTATTATGAATAAATTTGTTTATAATATCAAATATGATTAATAAAATATTATTTCAAACTTTTGTTTCAATTTATCAACTTAGCTAATTTTTATACTATTCAATTGAGGAATGTTGAAGTCTGTGTTTATTAGGGTTAAGATGCAATTTTCTCTTGATTATATTTTGAAACAAGCCAACAAGAGATACATAATTAAGATAAAATTTGTATAGTATAGTTTTTTGTTGTTATTTTTAAATTTTATTTATAAAGAAGTAGAATAATTAAAATAAATGAAATTTTTAATGAGTCCGTTGAATAGAAGTTGAATAGGATGGGATAAAAACAATGTTCGCTGCATTCGATTCCATGTTTTACTCGACTGCTCGTTTCTGGTAATAAAGACAGGAGTAATTTCTTTGTAAATTGGATATAAATTTTCGGTTACATACATTTTTTTCTTTAATTGAAGACAAATAAAGAGGGAAGGAAAAATAGAGGGACACGTACGTACGTTGTGCGAGGCGCCGCACAGCGCAGCGCGAAGGGTGGTTCGGGCGGCATTCAATTACCGTTCATTTTGATAAAACCGAGGGGAAAATAAATGCTGATTATACATGGAAAATACACTGCATGCATACGAAATGGTAAATCGCAGGCCACGTCCCGCATTTTACTTATCAACAAAACTACTCGACGAAAGGAAATTATACGCTATTACTATTATTTCAGTTTAATTAAAAAGAAACGCGCTCCATCCCGGAATTAACCTCGACGGCAATGTTACTTCATCAGTGGTCTGGTCTTGCTTTGCCTTGTCTGGTTAGGTTTGGTTTGCATTGGTCGCCTCTTGTCTTGTTTGAGATACTTGTTGACTAGATCACAAAGCGAATGAAATAGAAATAAGAAGGATGAACTAGAGGAAGAAAAGGGAGGGCGAAGGGTCAGAAAGGGAACGGTATTAAGATCCACTCTGGTGATTGTGTAATATAATTTATTTGCAAATGGCATGTGTTTTGTATGTGCGGGTGTCTCCTTCCTTATTGGGTACTGGGTGGGCCATGGATGTAATTTACGAGTCAGTGGGAAATGGCTGCAGACGCCGGAGTGTCCACGCGGCTTCTCTAATCTTGTAAAGGAGGAACACTTCTTTTGGGAATACAAACTTGGGAATTAGCGGAGGAAAAATTGCGAGATGTATTGCAAATGAAAACGGCCTGGCCTGGCCTGCCTACTTAGGCATGCATCTCGCGTATCGGGGTTCTCCTCCAATCTGGACGGATATATACATATACAACCCTTGAGCAGTAAACACAATTAGCGTTTGTTTTCAACAACCTAATAAATCCGATTTGCACTCTTATTCCGCGGATAAATAATGTACACGCCGTCCCCTCTTTTCTCGAGCGATACGCCAGCAAGGCCTGGATGGTTTTGGAGTCGGGGGTGGCGGCGGTGGTAGTGGCTCCAACTGCTACGGCTCCGCAAGGATTCTATTAAACCATAAAATTAAAACCAATCACCCGCGGACATTACAATTTTATTGTTGCACAGACCATAAATTGCTAAACATCTAATCGGCTTCTCTTCACCATCATCTCGACAGCCCAGATCACCATCACGACTATCATGCAACTGCTCTGTACATGTATACATATACTATAACTATTAGTATAATCCCTGATGAAGCCTGTAACCATAAACAATATATTTTAAAAAACCAGTAATTAATAAAACTGCAATTTATGTATACTTCAAATAATAACTTAATAAATATTTCAATAAATAGAAATGTTCCTGAGAAAAGCGTGTAAATCGAAATTGTAACTTTTTTAAAGTAAAACTGTGTAAATCGAAAAGTATGTAAAAAAAGCGCACTTAAATTAATATTAAATTTTGATTTTTTTTCTATGAATAAATAAAAAAATAATTAGAGAGAAACTGTATGAATAATAAAAATTAAAAATATGTAAATGGTGCAGATATGTTAACAAAAGTTGTTCAAAAAAATGTATATGTATTCAATAATTAGAAATTAATGTTTTGTTATTTTTAAGATTAATTATTTATATCATTATTAATGTAATGTTTAATACAGATTAAGTATAATTGCGTAACGGATTGTGTCCCATTCCACTTACCGAAAAGCTGACCGACCGTAAGGACGAAGATCCCTTTTGCAACCATGTTGAGGCCTAAAGCTGCTGGCAACTTCTTCTCATTGGTGCAGTATTCCGAAACGGTCAGGTTTTGGTTGATGACGGTTGCTGCCCGGACGTAACCGCAGATGACAGATGCAACTAGGACAGTTTCCAAGGTGGTCTGCATCGCCACAACTGGCGCAAGACCCGTGGAGGAGATGGATCCGCAGGGCGACAGAGAAAGAGAGATAGAGTTGAACAGAATGTAGAAAGTATAAGAGAGAAAGAGAGAGAAAATTGAAGAAAAAAATAATAATGTATATATATTATGAATCATATTTATATCCCCATTCAGAGAGGAGAAAACAGCTGAAATTATTCGCGCGACCGCCTTCTGTTACCACGGCAAAATGCGGTATTCCAGCAGAAACGGAATTCATCCAGTTTTAAGTAATTATAAAGATAAATTATGATACTAAAGCGCATACACACAAACGCAAACGCACCACGCCAAAAGCAAAGCGCTTATTTATTCCCAATCGATATGCAAGGATAATAGTATACAAGGATATAGAAATTAACAATACAGAAATACAAAAATTATGGTTTTCAATTAGAAATAGGTACAAAAAAATAAATTGTTTAAGCAAAATTTTCATTTTATTACAAATTAAAAAAAATGTAAATCAAATTAAACTAAATTTTAGCTAAATTAACGTTTCAGTATTAACCAATAATCGAATGAAACTACTATGTTGAATGTTACGTTTATACACCCAAAATTGTAACTTTGATTAATCGTTTGAAGCTATAAACGTCCTTTATAGTTAATATAATTCTGACATATTAAATCAAGGAATATTTTAAATTAGGATCAAAACTATAGGAAATCAAACGCTCTATTTCCTATTGGTAAAACCGTAAGACTACCTTCAAAAGCTTTGATCGATAAACTAAACTCGCTGGGTTTGTAATACACGCGTATTTCCAATTAAATACTAAAGGCAACATGCGAAATTCAATTATTAGGTAGTATGCAAATCCTTGGTGGAAAGAAGAAAGAAAAAAGCACAAAGCATGTAAATTAGATTCTTTTAAAATATACTCCTTGTGAAATAATAGTATCAGAGAGCAAAGACGCTTAAAAAATAGAGACGGGAAACTCTCTTAAATGCATAAGGATAAAAGCGTTGTTTATTAAGCTTGTATTACTGTCACTAATTGAAGTAGAGTGGAAAGTATACACTTGGTATACTTTTTCAGTGAAATCACTTTAGGTAGTGGTTTATGGATGAAAATGATAGATTATAGGTCAATATCTGATGTAGTTATACAATGTAATTAATGGTGGATTAATGAAACTACTTCAGTGCACTTTAGGCAATAACGTTTATTTTTCAGCAGAACTCCGATGATATTCCTCGTGGCACATATGCATCGTATTTGAACAATAATTAGGATTAGAATCCCAATGGAGTATCGAAACCGAATTCGAATTCAAATCGGAAATACGACATGCGTAATAATTAAAATTAAGAACGTGGTACATGGTTATATTGGAATTCAGTACAAGAGGCTCTCAGAAGATTGATCATCCAGATACAAATATACAGGTATACCTATGAGTGTAATTCTTAAAGAAAATACATTATTAGAAGATGGAGTAAACATTAAGAACATGGTGAACAATTTGTAGGGATTCCGATGTAGACTCATAAAGAATGTAACTAGGATAGTTTTCTGGTAATGTTTCGTATTTTGTAACTGAATAAATCGAATGACGGAAATGTGTAGGATGCAATATCGAATCGAACGAAACCGGAACCGGAAACGAACTGTCGTAATTACATGCAAATGGTTATTTTGGTAACGCCCCGAACTCCGTTGAGAGAATAATAAGAAGCAATACTTCAAATTTCATTTAAGATTAATTCAATGTACTATCCTTATGTATGCGTTGTACTCTTTTTTTGTCTTTTTTATTTAAGGACTGAAATATTTTAAGGAAAACACGCACGACGACGAATTCTTGCGTGAAATCTGCAACACAAAATTATAATACTTCTCAAGCAGTTGCGAGCACGTAGAAGATTCAAAGCGTATTCTTCTACAATTCCGCAACGCAATATTGCGGCTGTGTCATCTTTAATAAGTAATTTCATTTAATATAGGATGAATCTAGCTCGCAAGGATGAAAAGGTGGATGGATGCTGTGACGCACGTACCTAAATATAAATTGAATGAGTGCCTGTTGAGGCTCAATTGGAGGATAATGGATGATGGAACAAGGGCACACGACACACAAATGGACAGTCTTTTGTGAATATTTTTGCAGATTGAGAGCGAAAGAGGAAATGGCTAAGTGCGTGCCACAAAGAAAGCAGATTGCGTGTGCTGTTTATGGCTATTAAATAATTCTTTCAGTGCGTTCGAGCCTGATCTTACGTGATCTGCAAATGGCCAGCATCAAGCCTCCAACCAGGAATGTCATTCGGTTTCCCATCCCACATTTGGACGCCAAGTAGGGAATGCTGAGGCGGGCCACGATGTCCGCAGCCGATAATAGGGACATGCTTAGCGCCGTCTCTGACCTACTCAAGCCTCTTGCTTCCTGCAGGTAGAAAGGGAACAGCATGCTGAAGGATATACTAGCTGTATACACCACGGCTAAACCAATGATTATATTGATGAACACACCATCCAGCAGCAAATCTAAATCTAGAATCTGACATATCTTCTTCCAAATCCTTACACAAGTGCTTATTTCTGCAAAAAATAAACAAAATAATTAATTATCTCTGAAAATATTTGATTACAGAAGCAATTAAAAAAAAAATATTTTCATCTAATCTTAAAAAATATATATCAGAAAATAATCATAAATAAAAATAATTACTTATAAACAAAAATATTGCAGAAGAATTTTTATTTATTAAATAAGTTTGTTTTGTTTTTAATTCGATTATTAAATTAATTGAAACATTCATGAAATTCATTTCAACATAAATTGCGCTTCGAATGATCGTCTGACAATTTTAATTCATGGTTGTTTTAATAAAATTTTAATGAGTTTCGAACCAATTAATTGTTAACAATCCAATTAGTGACACTTAAAATAAAATGTTTCAATATTATATAATTTATTAAATAAACATAATAATACTTATTTAATATTTATTTAATTTTATAACACCTACATATAAAATTAAAAAAATGAAATTAAAGACATAACCGAATTTTAAGAAATTTTAATAATTGGTTACTCAATTAAAATATAAGATGTAATTGTTTTTTATAAATACAATAAAATTTACTTTTTTTTAATTAATGGAATTATAAAAAGGATATTAAAAAGGACTTATTGAGCTTTCAAATAAAGGATAAAATATTAAATTACATAAAATGAAATGAATAGAAATCAAATTGAATATGAAACAAAATTATGTTTTAACAAAATTAATTAATTTCTGTTTTTTGCTGTAATTGCTATTAAATATGTAAATAATATTTGTGAAAATCAAGTAATCACTGTATCGATTACAAAATTAATTATTTCAATTGAATACTGATTCTATTCATTAATCAGTCCATGTTAATTATGAATGGGAATTGACAATTACTAAATATATTGGTGATAGTAATAAACGGTATGGAAGTTCAAAGGGCTCTTTGTAAATGGTTCTACAAAACCAAAGTCATAGCCAATCTCTGTAAAAGGGGATGAATGATTCGATACTTAATCACGAATTAGCAAATATGTTTATCATTTAGTTCGTAATTAATTAGTAACAAAAATTCCGATTTTTTTTTTCATTTCTAATTATCAACTCATCATACGTTTTGATGACCGATGGAAAATTTTCACAATCCGGATCGTTCCGGTCTGGCAAAACTAATAGGCATTCGCGAAAATACCCATCCGTCCAAATTAATTTTGTTATTTCCTAATTAACGCTTTGCTATGAAACGGGATGACCATAGCAAACCCCAAAATCTGGATGCATTTCGTTGAATGGAGATAGTCTAGGCTGCGTCCCTCCGGACGGATTAATACTATTAATTAGGAAATGGATATTGGTCCTAGGATGCGATAAATCAGCTAGCTAATTGGGAGAACTGCGGTGTCCCGTTTTTGCGCTGCAAATTATGTACAAACAACTGAACTTTCGAGTTACTCTCTTGTTCTATATATATATTTTTTTTTTTGCGTAACTTTTCCTCTTCTTCGCGAGATTGCTGTCTGACCTAAACATAATTAGGCCGACGGCACATCAAACCCGAGCAGGACCTTCTCAGTTTATAACATTCTGCTGCACAAAGTTTTCGAATTAAATCCAATTACCCGAACTGAAATTCACTCACTCACCGGTGTGTGTGAGCTAAACCCGAAACGTGAGAATCAAATACACTTCAAATAAAAAAAAACACTACAAATATTTTCAATGTTTACCTAACGTACATTTTTTTAACGTACTTTCAATTATACGTACAACATTATTCTCAGACCCAAGTAAAGAAATAGATATGAAATAATTCCTAGGATATGCTATATGTTCTTATGAATTTAAGTAAAAATATATATTACTGGATTTGAGTTAATGAAATAAATAAAAATGTGACGTGACGTGGACGTTCCGTAAGTAAGTAGTAAGTTGAAATGATTGAACTAATTGACGTAAATGTGCCGAAGTAGTAGTTCCGTATAGTAGTTTTGTTTTTAATTTATATCAATGTAATATTAAGACAATTGTTTAATTATATTGAACATGGATAAAAAAAAATAAAAATTAAATTAAGTCACCGCCTCTACTTTCCGCATTGACTATTTCTTCCTATTCCATAATGGTGATTATTATTATTATTCCGTACAATCTTTCGCCGCCGCCCGTTCCATCCAAAGTATTCCTTCATTTTTCCGTTCCTTTTTTCGGTTATAATTCATCGGAATGTAAGTGGAAGTTTTTGCGCCCTCCGGAGCGGAGCGGATTGAAGGGAAGTTTTCTGAGGGCGGCGTTCCTCAAAATGACTTAATACAATGCTAATGCGTTTAAGAATAAGATGGGCCGTAATTGGATTCGGTCCTATTTGGTAATTCAATATTTCTTAACGGATTAATTTCATTTTAATCTCAAATGCCAACCGACCGCATCGACATCGAAGAAAAATAATAAATAAAAAAAAGAGAAATAATTCGAATTACGTAATTGTAGCAAAATAATTGTTAGCACATTCGACGATTTTATTATCAGCAGTAATCATGCGCTTATCTCGTTTCTTTCTTGATAATTGCTGAAAATGTAATTACGTTGCTCCACGTTATAAATAAGTAATTATTAGAGCAGGAAACGTCTCGTGGTTGTATAAAGGTCAGGTGCGATAAACTCTGCTCTAAGTTTATTGATGAGTTTTTTGGAACTTCGTAACATTCTTCATACAAAATTCATTTTCTTATCAATATTTATATAAATGTAATAATTGAATTGTTTACTCAAGTATAATATTTTATATACATCAAAAACAATATTTAATTAAGGGATTGAGGCATTGTATGAAGAGGCTTCCCTAGTAGCCACGTACTTTTCTTGCTAGCGTATTTAACTATTTATTATATATATTCGAATATATTCACAAAACACCATATGACGATTTTATACGACATCAAGCAATATTTCTTTTTTTTAAATTGTCTATATTCTTTTGTAATTAATGTAATTTTAATTAATTTTGAACTAATTTAAAATATTTCAAAAAGTATCAACAATATTTCTTATTTTTTTATTTCTACTAAAAATTACTTAAAATTTCTAAAAATTGACTCAAATTTTCAATAATAAATTTACTACTAATTCATTTTGAATAATAATAAGTTTATTATTATACAGTTTTATTTACTATTTTTGTTACTACGTTACAAAAATTAAGTTAAATGCCTGCAAAAGGCTATTGACCATAGGTCTTTCTGTTCTAAATTTGAATATTTCGTATGCTTTAAAAATATTATATTTTTAAGAACTGATTATTAGAGTTTTCAAAATAAATGCTTTAAAACTTTGTTAATTAGATATGAACTGGTTTCGGTATCCTTTGATGTCATAATGAGTAATATAAATCAACAGTACTAGATTATATTTCGTTAGTTTCATTACGAATTGTAGTGGATTTAATTAAAAAGTTGCTCGGGTAAACTAAATTTGTTCATAACCGAATCACGACGCTCTTATGCAATATCGAACGGATGATTCGGAGCAGCGCGTATGCAGTTCGTTTGGCCCTAATACATTTTTGTGTCATTGCACAAGCATCGAAAACGAAACCTCACGTTAATTATATAATATTCCTAGGCGTCCGCAATTTATGCTAATCAGTCAATTTGTATGGTAATATTTCTATAAGTTTGATAAGAATGAAACTCAGTAATTTCGTTACTAGTCGCGCGAATCTGCATATTTTATGAACTAATATAATTTCGGGCTTACTCCTGCCCGTCTATTCCCTCGTTTCTTTCCTTTCCTTTTTTGTCATTTTTCAGCACGAGGCACTTTGTTTCCTTTCCTTCTTCTTGTTGTGTTTTTTTTATATATATTCGCTTCCTGTCCTTCCGGGGCGCAACAACATTTAATCCAGCTTTACGAGATTTGCATACTTTTATCTTTAATCATCTCATCGCGTCGGAGGAACGGATTACACATATTTCATAGATTTTCTTATAATCGAGTTAATTTCCCGGCATGTGTTGCATCCGAATCGAGGAAGTGTATCAAATATTTTTATGGTATTACAGAATTTTCTGGATGAAACATAAAAACGCAGAAGCTTCCAATTTTTGTATACAATAAAAGCTAAGGGCGTGGGGAGATGGGAGACGTGTTATGTACAAACCTGCGTTTTCCAATTGACTCTTGCTTTTGCTGGGAACTTCGACGACGGAGTCTGGTTTTTTAGCAATACTTGGAGCGGCGGACAGCAAACTTGTTGTTTCATCAACTTCCACCTTCTTCTCATGCCACTGGACAGGCTGGAATCAAAGGCGTTAATCAGTAATGGCATGGAAAGAAAACATCGATTTGATGAAACCGGAAATGAATGTAACAAAGACACGAAGCAAATCTGTATGGAGGAGGACAACTTCCCCTTTTTTTTCGGATCGAATTATTCTGAAGCATTCTGCGGCGCGAGACGCCTCAGGGCCTCTCGGGGATAAGAATCGTGTGTTTGGCATCTAATTTTCGGAAATCGTCGAAATAGAATAAAACGTAACAGCAAAAAAATCTACACAAACTTCGTGAAAACGCGCGTCAAGGTACGGGGTTGAAATTTAATTAATTATATTCTTGTAACTTGTGCAAAACGAAAGACAAGTGGATGTAATCCTCTACAATGTGTACTTTGTTAGCAGTAAAGCTTCGTTTATAACCCCGACCACGCGATCTATGATTGTATATTAACCTGTGGGGACTTGAAACGCTACGCGCTGAGCCAAAGGATTAACATACTAATTTTCGTAATTTTAAGCTATTTATTGTGTTCATTTGAGTCCGCTTTTAGATATCATCTGCACAATTCACTTAAAGTATTACGGATATATCCTCTATTTCACCTCACTCCATATATCCAAATATGCTTCTGTATGTACATATATAACTTATTCATACGAAATACCGTATTACATCGAAACACAAATCATAATACATCATTCATTCAGATTTCATTAATATAAACATTAGCGAAACACGCAAATGACAAAATATGAATTATTAATACCTTCATATTCAAATTACTACTAACATAGTTTCCTATAATAATATTTTAAATTGAATAAATATATAAATAAAATAGATCTAAAAAATAATAAAATTGTAATGTTGAAAAAAAAATTCAATTGTTAAGTTCCGGTAATACGCAGAGGTAATTTTGAACTTATTGTGCAAGTCGTGTGAAGAATTGGTAAGTGGCTTATCAGTATTCAACGTGAATATCTCAAAGGGAAACAAATCCGCACACAGGGAAAGAATGTGCATGTGCTTGTTTATTTTTCGTTTCTTATTGCATTGTATTTACTTGGAATAGAAGTGATCCGACCAGCCCGTGCAAGGATAGTGCGCCTAGGATAAAGGTAGCACCTTTGTAACCATACTCGTCCAGAAGGTATCGGACGAGCTGTGGCATCAGCATCTGTCCAATTCCTGTCCCAGCCATGGATAGGCCGACAGCTTGACTCCTTTTTTTATCGAAGTATGTTTTCACAGCCAGGAAGGTCGCCGGCATGATCAACCCAAAGCCCAAACCTAGAAAATAGTCAACAACTTAAAAAAAGCATTTCACAAATAAAGACTACATAAATTTGTATCGACGGGGGCGGCGAAGGTTTCGATGATAAATCATCGTTCTGGTTGTTAATCGCGAGTAATTTATAATTTTTTTCCAAATGGAAGGAGGCGGCGAAGCGCGCCTCATAGTCATATATATTCACTTTCTTGTCTCATTTGGCATTCCGCGAAGAATTGCGATGATTCATGCCGTCATCATGACAAAGGCTATTTAGTGAAAAATATTTCATATTAACGCTTTCAGCCGTCGCCTCCGCCGCCGCTCCAGCTCTTTCGTATATCTTTCCCCCCAATTCGTTCGTTCTTTTTTTTTAAGTTCTGGGTAGAAAAGCGTAAAGTAAAATTAGATTACCAGTGAAGAGGCTGTAAGTTATTATTAAATGTGCGAGATTCGTGGCGAAGCTGGATAAAATCAATCCAGTCGATGTGAGCAGCACTCCGATAAATGTCACAAGCCTGGGACTGTAATTCTTCAGTAAAGGCCCCGTCACTATTCCCGAGAAATTCGTCACCATACTACATATGTTCATAACTAGTGCAACCCCCATAGTTCCATGACCCATAGCTTCTATTTCCTCTCCAAACAGCAAACCAAATAGTGACACCAAAGATTGATTCACCATCTACAAAATAAAATCACTGCTTTTACTATATCATTAAAAGTTTATAATTTTTTTCTATAAAATTTATTAAAAATGCACGAAGAAACTGGACTACACAGGACAAAGGAATACGAAATACAATGATAATTTACATATTTAAATTTTTCTCTTTAATTTTATTAAATTTGAAAAAAAAATCAATATATCTTATGAAGTTTCATTTTTCTTGTATAAATTGAAACATTAAAGTAAATAAAAATAATCACATTTTTTTTTAATTTTAAATATCAAAAAATCTTACATAATTTTTTTTTTCTAAATTTTTTAAATTGTTTTTTATTCTAAAAATTTGATTTTTTATTATATTTTTTAATATTTGTTAATTGATTTTACAAAATTTGCAATTTTATTTTAGCGAAACTGGATTAGTTTTTTCTATTCATGATATTTTGTAACAATTTGGATAAAGCTGAAGATAAATTGTGTAAATACAGCTGATATAAACCGTGACCTCGCTTTGCGTCCTTTTGAAATAATGCTTTACATTAAGTCGTAAAATTTCACATTTTCCTGAATATGAGAATCTGTTGCTCGTCATTTTATAGGTACTCGATTTACGATGTTTACACGTCAAGGATATACCTAAAGAAAATTCAATATAGACTTCAACGTCACGCAGTTAAATATTTTTTATTAATTATATAGTTCGTTAATTAAAAGTAATGTAATTATTGTTATTAGTATTAAAGTCTGTAAATTAATTATATGTAATAATTAAAAAGAAATAAAGTATGCAATTGTTTCAATTATCGAATTGTTTTAAATGTGATTTTGAAATTAAAGTTGGTACAAAGATTGTTCTGTGATGTTGGGAATTACAGAGATGTCTGAAATAGTCCAGGATCAAAAAGGGATTTATTGATTCTACTGAACGGCTCCGCCGTCAAAGTCTTTCCGTATTCTCGCGCCGAAAGTAATTTAAACGCAAATAAAGATTAATTCTTTTGCACAAATGTTTGCTAATTAACAAAAACAGCTACAATAAAGAAATATCAATTGAAAGTGGATCAGCTTAAAAGCATTTATTAAAAGGTTTTTTGTGGAACAATTATATGTTTACAACTCGTGGGAAGAAACACAAGTAAGTGAGATGAATATTCCCATCCATGCTTTTTGTTGGTTTACTTTTTGAGTGTTCTTTACTAGTCTGTCACACTTTGGTGCAAAAGGCTTTAATGAATTGTCGAGTGAGGAACTGTTGCTTCCGAAGCGGAGGTGCGTTCTTTTTATGAACTCTGAGCACCTGAATTCATTAACGTTTCCACCGGAAGTAATCCTCTTAGCCTTGCAATTTTTACTCTGCACATTGAATCCGTACATGCACACACTCATAACTATATATGTATATATTGGAATCCGAGGAAACGCTGAATTTTTCAAATAAATCATAATTCCAGTTGGAAAAGAGACTTTCCTGCATAATGTTCGGAACGCTGAAACTTTTCATAATATTTTATTGAAAATAACGCTTTGCGTAATCGAAGCTACCAACTACCTAAAGAAACGTGATCTGCGGCCAACTTTTCTTTCAATTCAATATAAAACAATTTATATTTGATATATATACAATTTTACTTGTATTGTATGTATTCAAATCCCAGTAATTGTAAGATGTATTTATTTAAGTTTTGGAATGAATACAAATATAGAATAATGGTAATTTACGCAAATGATCTTCAAACACTGTCACAACTACAATACAAAATACTGTCATTAAAAGTTGCATAAAGTAAGGTATTTAATTTAGAAATTTTAAGCGGCGAAATATATCCGAATTATCCTTTACACGGGAGACTTCGCTTACGCAAAATTGCATGTAAGGACACTGTGGTGGCGTAGTCATCAAATCTTAGTTCAATGCACCCTAAAGGCAACCGCAAAGGGTTAAAATCATGTAATTTTTGTAAGTTTTTATGTAATTATAATGTATGATGGTGGAACCATTACTCAAGTACGAGTCTGTTGTATCCGTGTGGGCGATATTATCCGATAGGTTGAAATAGTTTTATTGAAGCCCTTAGGAGATATGCGAATGTGTTTGTGTATTGAGTAGAGCATGCATTGTAATATACGATAAATATTCTTATAGAAGTCGAGAACCGTTCGGTCTTTGAGTGTTTAGTTGTAAGAGGTCCTTCGACCTCAGCACTCAAGGCTACAAACCCTAAGGATCGGATCTCGTTCATCCGTCGTGCCCGATTTACCAAGGAGTGGGTGCATCTTTGCTCCCGGCATTTAAACGAGCCTATTATGTTATTGTTGAGCTTCCCTTTAATCCCTTCTTTGTCAACGATCGCATTGAAAGAAACATTTCTAATTTTCTATTATCTCAACATATTCTCAAACTTCTTTTTCAGCTCTTCAAGTTTTATAGACTCAACCATCAATGAAAGCCTCTGAAAACAATGTACAGACTGTAAGGAGTTGATCCTTTTAAGAAATTTACTACAAATATAGTAACAGTTAAAAATAAATCTATTCGGTTTCGGTTTTCGGATAGAACTTTGAATATTTTATATAAACACTTAACCATTGTTTTACACGTTTTAACAAGGTTAAAAAAAATAAATGTTGAACATAACCTATCACTCGTTTTACATTTTTTAGTCGTTTTCGCTTTAACACGGTATAAAAAAAATTAGAAATAAATGTTGAAAATAACATACTTATGCGTTTTTTGCATACTTTTCGATTTACACGGTTTTACACTCAGAATCCTATCTACCGTTCAAATCGCAGGATAAGTGTAATTAAAACTTTATGGAAAAAACTTGCATTTGAAGGCAAGCTTTAAAATTAGAATAAACTGTTATATACTGTAATACATATAAATATATACTTATATAATATAAATATGTATGTATATTATCCAGAAATAAGAGAGAAGACGAGACTTGAAGCTGTAAATAATTCAATGCGGAAATCCAAATGCACTTTGAGTTCATGAAAAATTTATTTTATGGTCAGAGCTGAATATTACATAAATTACAGTCGGAATATATTTAATTATCTCTAGGAAATAAACAGTTCCACTTCATTTAAGCTTAAGAGACTTGATAGTTTTTACTCGTAATTTTACTTTTAATAGTACTTTCTTTTAAAGTACATTAACTCTTATTTATTTATCTATACAGACGACAAATTCAAGCGAATTTAATACAAGTAATTTTATTTTATTTATTTATATGTTTTTATAACAGTCAACAACTTTTTTTATAAAATTTACTACAACATGGAAAATCAATAATAGAACAAAATAATCAATTTTGCAAAAGTTAAAAATTATTTATTTATTTTTTCATTCTAAAATCTTTATTTATACTAAATTTCATGTAAATTTTCTGGGTGAAAGAAAGCGGTTTTTGTGTTTTTGCATGCAATAAATTAATATTATTTAATAATTATTACATAACTATTTGTATATTTGTAATTATGTAAATATATATAATTATATAAGAAAGAGGTGTTTCAAAGTTAAATCAATTTTTTAGGGTAGCAATCGGAATCAAATGTAATCCATCCGGTGAAATTGGATGGGAAAGCAAATCAAGGGTTGAAGAAGAAAAAAAAAAGTTATGTTGAAAATATATAAATGAATTCGAAGGGGGAAATGAAAATAATCAAGTATGCACCGTATTTAATTTGAACCGATCGTTATGTAAATATTATGCAGCTCACTTACTCATGCGTGCAGGTAAAGCTCGGAGACATGACTTTATTGAAATGGTAAATAGCAGATAAATCCACCACCTGTGGGTTGTAGAAAATTGCAAGCGACATGCATCCATCTCTCATACCGACGACCCCTACCTCCCCACCTACGTCCGCCCTTCAGTACTCATCCCACCCTCCGTGGCTCGTTGAAACCTGTGGCGACAGACATTCCAACCCCTCGACCCTATTCTCGTCCTTCCGCCGGATCGTTTTCGGACTAAGCACTCTGCTTTACTGGATTTTTAATCAACCATAAACTGTTTACAGTGTGTCCCCTGATGAGGAAGGGGAGCGACGATGTTACTAGCGACCATCAAAAATGAACGATGGCTTTGCTTTAAGTGTATCTTTAATACGAGAATCATTACACACTTCAATTTATTTCTCTTAAAATGTTAAATTAATAACATACACTTAGTACATAATATAGATATGTTTTGAAAAAAAAAAGTACGAATAGAAAAATTTTATGAACACTTTAAAAAATTAATGTAACAGATTTTTCCTGATCAATAATATTTCTAGCTGTTTTTAGAAATTTAAAAAAAATAACACATTGCGGATAAATCGCGGATATATCCGCCTTATCCTTTACACAAAAATGCATGTAAGGTAATGTTTTTATTATTTCACATTTTTTTTATCTATAATTATTTGTGTAATTGTATTTTTTCTTATTATTTTTTTTTTAATATTTATTATAACAGTTACATATAAATAAATAAAAATTATCAACTGTAACAAAAGGCTATTGACTATAGGTTTTTCTGTCTTATTAGAAATAAACGAAATAAACATGAAAGCAATATCTTTTATTTTGTTCCTCAATCTAATCAATTAATTACTAACGTTTCTCAGACGCCACGCGAGTAACGATGTTACGAAATACCGCGAGAGTAATGGAGAATTATTTGTTTAATAATTGTAAAGTAATAATAATAATAGTTAATGCAACAATAAATTACAAAAAGAAAACTTAATACAATAACAAAAATAAAATAAAACTGCTGCAAAGGGTTATTGACCATATGTCTTTCTGTAATATTTTGATAAATTAATTAAAGAATATGTTTCTTTTGAAGGTATTATGTTTTGTTTCATTATAATTAAGAGTGATTTTAATGGAAATAGTGCACATACATATATAGTATATATTTAGAAGAAAAATATATACACAAAGAACTAGATGAAAATAATGAATACTGCGAGAATTTCCTTTTACATGTTCTGATGCTGTTAATGCTGCAAATTTCTTTTAGTCGGCCTTTTGTACCGTCATTGGAGAAGGACAATGAAATTTTATGGAACGGAATAGTGTGAAAGAGAAACGGGCACAAAAAAACGCACAGCAGGAAAAATAGAGAAAGGGAACAAAAAAAAAGAAAGAATAAGAGAAATACGCACTGAAAGAAGTGGAGGTACTTACGTTGGTGAGGGCCACACCAATAACAATAATCCAGCCCCATCCTCCATCCGGCGGTTCCTTCCGATAATTTGCCATCTCGCTTTTAAACCTTACATTTCGACACTCGGATTACAACTGGCGATCTTATCGGCTCGTATGTGACTGAAAGCAAGTGATAAAGATTATCGGCTATCGATTTGTTTATTCTTTATCGAGCCTCCAAGCCTGATCCAAGGTCCCAACCGTAGCTCTAACCACGCATCCATCATTCATTCTAATAAGACGGGGGAGGAGGCTGCCGAATCACCGAATACTGGCGTTATCTTGATAACCCTTTTGGTGGATGCTTTTTAACCCTGTTTCGTCCGATGCCGTGAATTAATGATCACTGAAAATAATACGCTAAGCTTGTAACAAACACAGTATTATTGAAATTTTTGTCAACAAGAGTTCAGAATATTTATTTTCGCTGAAATTAGGGTGAAACGACTTACAGCTAATAGCCGACTCTAATAATACCAAAATCATCTTGAACAGCTAAATGTTATTATAAATTTGACTATTATTGAGGAATAATTAAAAATATTAATTATTAAGTTTTTCTCATTAATTTGTTGATACAGGGTGCAGCAGAAATATATCCCACATTACAAACAATAAAAAATTTCCAAGAACAACTCCAAATGTTTATCGGCCGCCAAGGCCACCATTTGATTTAATTAATTCTCGTTAATCAATTTGATTATTGTTATTTACAATCTGCGAGTGAAGAGCAAAAAAAACTAAATAATTATGATAAAGAGATATGGATTTGTTTTGATTAATTCTCATTAATCACTATATTTGAGAGTGAAGAAGAATATTTAGACTTTGTTCTTAAATCAACTAATTGGTCATTTTTTGTTAAAATTTATAAAGTGTATTCAAGTTGATTAGAAAAAGACACATAATTACTCACCTGTTGTGAAATGAATCAACGATGACAAAGAAAAAATGGAAGTGGTATAGAAGTTAGGAACATTTAATGAATTGTCCATAATTCAAGTGAATTTGTTAGTGAAAAGAACTCTTTGCGGAAAATCCAAAGAAATGTCGAAGGAAACACAAAGTTTAGACACAAAACAAAGTTTTACTGAAGACCAAACAAATGGGTAAATATAAAACATAAACATAGTAATACTAAGATTAAATTACGTTCAATGTAGTTCCGAGGCTGAAGTGATGTCGGCTGATGTTTCTAATAATATTCAAAATATCTCCAACAATTCACCCTCGGGAATCGAACCGATCCAACTGAACTTAGATGTTGAACTTCCGGTTGGAAGCGATTCCAATTATTCTGTACCCGAAACCAGTTCGAACACTTTACTACCTCTTGAACTTCATTTAGATGCAGGAAACTCAAATGCACAAGATCGATCCGCGTCTTCAAATGTTGAAACAAACTCAACGTCATCACAAATTAAAGAATCTGAAAGTAACCCAGAAAAACCATTACAAAATGATAATAATGTTTTGAATGATAAAACTAATTCAGAAGTTTCCTATGAGGAATCCGATTGTGATTTACTGATTGACTTCTTAGATGCTCCAGTGAATATAAACAACCCTGGTAGTACCAAAGTTGAAGCACCAACCACTTGTCTTCTTACAGGAATTTTGGATGAGGATATTTCGACAACTAACGAAATTTATGCTTATACTAATTTACAGACTATGCCTTCTAATGGCATAGATGAACTTGATGCATTCATTAGAAGTATTTACGATGTTTTTCCAGAAGCTTCAGATAGCAATATTGAAATATTAGGTGATACTGAGAGTACAGTTTTTGAAGCCATTATTACAAAAGATAAAGACGAAGCAGCATCAGTGAATGAAACTAAGCGACTGTCGATTGGGTTTTTTGACCTTAAAATAATTGAAGACATGACTCCAGATGGAGTTAATAATTTAGTGAAAAATATTTATGAGGTTTTACCTAAGAAACTGAATGAAGATGCTGAAAATGCAAAAACATTGGTTGAAAATCTTTATGATACTTTGCCTACTGGAATTCGATCGGTTAATGATCCAACAAAATCTGTACCTGAAAATGAATATGATCTTCTTCCTGCATCAAAACGTTGTGTGGACAATTCTTACATCCAGGTCATTCAAGCTAATATATTAGATACATCTGATATCAAAAGATTAAATACTGTTGTCGAAAGTGATTATAGTACTTTAAAATATGAAGATACTAAATGTACTCAATATGAAGCAACTGCCTTTGGTAAGTCGACTATCTATAGACCTATGTGTCACCATTACGAATCTGTAAAAGAGTGGGAAGGTAAATCTTCTAATAAAGTTAAAAAGGCCTCATGTCTGAAAACTAAGAAATCATCTGAAGAAAGCAAGAAACGCGAGCATCTAAGTATTTATGAGGACGTAGCTATCTATCGCCCGAAGAAAGGAGTTACTTTCAATGAAGTTGTTGAAGTAAAAGGTAGTAATTCCATCAAAATATTACTAGATTAGACTATTTTTTTGTTGGTTTTACAGAATACTTCGTTACTGACTTATCTATGATGGATGAAGACCCCATATTGACAGACCCTAAGATGATGGAATCTAAGATGACTGCTCCTAAGATGACTGTCCCTAAGATGATGGACCCTAAAACAATCGATCCTAAGAGACCTAAGAAGAAGTTAGTTCGTAAGGTGTTCGGTCGTTTACTTAAAAAATAAATGTAGCAAGATGGACTATTGGGAGAGTATAAGAATGGACTAATTATATAATCTCGTCATGTATAAAATGGGTTACATTTAATCGTGTAATGATTCATTAACAATCCTTGCATTTTTTATTAATTTATATTGAAACAAAAATTTGTAATCAATATGTACCATATTCAATTTGCATCGACATATTTGCTAACACATTTAATTGAAATATATTTTGTTCCTGCATCAAACAGCTAATTATTAGTAATAGTGAATGACGCTCGACCTTTCATTTACAATCCATATATAATACAGACCCCCTATTTAAATTATAATTTCCCAATTTATAACTTGTGAACGTATATATAAATTTCTATTGATTTACAATAAAAGATACAAATGAAAATTGTTGTATGTTATATATAATATTTTCCTCTTTATATAAATATATATTTCCAGTGTATAAATGATTTTCGTTTAACAATTGAGTTATTCAATATAATAATAATCAAATTAAAGTCACACCGAAATAACTATATACCTCTTTGCGAAAGATCGGCGATATATTCGTTAGTGTATTACGGAAATACGCCACAACATAATAATATACAGCAGTTTTGCAAGAAATGAGACCTTGAAAAATCTCCGTCCGCAAAAGCATTTTTAAAGCATGCGTGGTTTTTCTGGGCTTCAGAAGCCAAAGGACTTTAATAGACCTGTCAATCTGGCTAAGCCTTTGTACGAGTAACGAATTATCTTTATCCTTACTACTTTTTAGTTTTATACAGTTTTATACTATGTTATACTCAGTTATAATATTTTATATTTTTACGTTGTGCTCTTTCTATTTACGACCCTTTGACTACTTAGGTATGTAATCTTAATGTAAATTCGTATCCAATTTTCTCCAGACTCTCATCAGTTCCACTTTACTTTTTTAAGAAGCCGTAAACCAATACCGTTACGAGAATGATACCGTCAGCACTCGTACAGACACAAATAGGATCTCACGCCAACCTCGTGCAACAAACCAATTGCATTTTGCAGGGCGTGGGAGGGCGCACTTCGTTGAATGTTAATCATCGTAATGCAACAATATTTCATACATTGTGCTTTGAGTTCTAGTTTTTTAAATATATTTTTCAGAAAGCATTTTGCTATGCCGATTCAATTCAATTATGCTAAACGCGCACACTGAAAAATACCGAACGCGTGAGCTTCCGGTGCTTTGAAGATTTTCATTTCCTGGTTCATATGCATACATACATACATTCCCGACGCAAACGCACACCGTCAGCAGTCGTTATTATTATTATTATCATTGCTGCAAACGGGGTAAAACGAGATGCGTTCAAAGAGATGTATACGACACTTCTAACAGGCGTGCAACAATTCGGAGTGCCATCAAATCGTGTAGTACTTGATAATAGTCAACTAGACAAAAAGATTTGATGCTCGCTTTTGCGATGCAAATGGCAGTGGTAGTGGACTGATGATGTCGTTCATGGTACTGCTTCATATCCAGTCACGTCACTCAATGCGCATCAATAGATTTTGTATAATTAACTTCGTTTGTGGCACTACATTGTTATTTAGAATGTATCATGTGTAAGCTTCTGTTTAATTAATTAGAGCCTGTCATTTTATATTTACCTAATTTTGATTTTGTAAACGAATCACGTAACCGACCAATATTTTTCTAATGTACATTGAAATATTGGATTCAATATTTGATACAATTCGATACAATTAATTTAAATTATTAAAAATAATATTTTGGGAATTTAATATATGTTTTTATTATTTATTGTGTTATTATGTCCCAACAGACATCGTATATGGCATATATTGTCCCAATGGAGATTATTATTGAGAACTATTATCCCACTGGACCAGAACAAAAAACTTATCAACTGAAACAATATTTTTTATAAGTATATAAAAAATTACAATGGTAAAAAGGAATACAATTAATTAATAATAATAATTTATTGGCCAAACATCGATACATAAGAAGAAGAGAAAAAAAAGTACAATTTATACATAAATAAATTTTAAAATACATTAAAAAAAAATATTAATAGGCTGGCCAAAGGACAGAGGTCTTTCCGCCCGGGAACATAAATAAATAAATTCTAACATAAAATAAAAAATATATATATTAATAGGCTGGCCAAAGGCGGAATNGACCGAGGTCTTTCCGTCATTTTTTATAATATATAAAATTACAATGGTAAAATAGGACATAAATTATAATAATAAAAATTTATATGGCCAAAGCTATCGTACAAACGAAGAGAAAAAATCGTCAGTTTATTCATTAAACAAATTATAAATAAAAACTCAATAGGCTGGCCAAAGGGCTAACGACCGAGGTCTTTCCGCCCGGGAACATAAACTTTATTATGAAATAATATCAGTATTATAATAATAAT